TTTCAGATATTCAGCAGTTTTATTGAGCTCTTCAGGAGTCCCAACTAGATTCATATCATCAACATATACGGCCACTATAGCGAATCCAGAATTGGATTTCTTAATGAACACACAAGGGCAAATAACATTGTTGATATACCCTTCTTTGATCAAATATTCACTGAGACGATTATACCACATTCGTCCAGATTGTTTCAGACCATACAATAATCGCCTTAATTTGATCGAGAGCATACCTCGTGGTTTATTACTTGTTTCAGGCAACTTAAGTCCTTCTGGGACTTTCATATAGATGTCAGTATCTAATTCTCCATATAGATACGCAGTGATGACATTCATAAGTCGCATGTCAAGTCTTTCTGAAACCACTAAACTTATTAAGTAACGGAACGTAATTGCGTCCATTACAGGAGAGTATGTCTCCTCATAATCAATTCCAGGTCTTTGAGAAAAACCTTGTACAACGAGTCATGCTTTGTATCTTGCGATCTCGTTTTTCTCATTGCGTTTCCTTGTGAATACCCATTTGTAACCCACGGGGTTTACACTAGGCGGGGTTTGGACTACTGGTCCAAAAACATTCCGTTTTTCTAAGGAATTTAATTCTGCCTAGATTGCATCTTTCCACTTAGGCCAATCTTGTCTCTGTTTGCATTTATCAACAGAGCGGGGCTCAATATCATCACTTAAGATGATTTGAGTGGCTACTGCAAACGCAAACATATCATCAATGATTATTTCATTCCGATCCCACAATTCATTTGTACATGCATAATTTATGGAGATTTCTTTGCTTTCATGTACTTCTGTCTCTTCAGGGACAGATGTCTCATCAAGGACATTTTCTTTTTTCTGGAAGTCCAGAATTATGAATTGTGGATGTATCATTCTTTTTCTCTTCCTGAATGACTTCATTTGGATTCAGTTGTGCCCTCGACTTTCTCTTTCGAGGAGCTGAATCTTTTGAACCTGGGGGTCTACCACGCTTCAGGCGTGCACCAGATGAATCATTCGCTGCCATTTTATTTTGTCCAACAGGGACATCAATTCTTACAGGTGCATTTGCAGCTGGTATATTTGATTTTGTCACTTTCATAGCATCATTAAATGCATCTGGCATTTGATTGGCAATGCTTTGAAGATGAACGATCCTTCTCACTTCATTTTCACATTGAATGTTGCGAGAATCAAAATGAGACAAGGTGGGAACAACCCATGTCAGCTATTTCCGTTCTTCTGGAACGGTCTTTTCTCCCCCTAACAACGGGAAAATTGTCTCATCAAAGTGACAATCAGCAAAACGAGCTGTAAACATATCACCTGTCAAGGGTTCCAAATATCTAATGATAGATGGTGAATCAAAACCCACGTAAATTCCCAGTCTACGCTGAGGTCCCATTTTAGTGCGTTGCAGCGGTGCAATAGGCACATAAACTGCAAAACCAAAAACTCGTAAATGAGAAATGTTTGGCTGATGTCCAAACACGAGTTGTACTGAAGAGTATTGATGGTTGGCTATAGGTCTCAATCGAACCAATGATGTAGCATGTAAGATGACATGTCCCCATGCAGAGACTGGTAATTTGGTTTTCATAAGCAGAGTGCGAGCTATTAACTGAAGCCGCTTGATCAATGCTTCTGCTAAACCATTTTGAGTATGGACATAAGGAACATGGTGTTCAACATCAATGTCCAATGTCATGCAATAATTATCAAAGGTTTGAGACGTAAATTCACCAGCATTATCAAGACGGATTGACTTAATGTGATTATCTGGGAACTGTGCTCGTAACTTAATTATCTGAGCAAGAAGTCTCGCAAAGGCTACATTCCGAGTAGACAAGAGACAAACATGTGACCATCGGGTAGATGCATCAACCAAAACCATAAAATATCGAAATGGTCCACATGATGGTTGAATAGGCCCACAAATATCCCTTTGAATTCTTTGCATAAATGATGGGGATTCAGCATCAACCTTTAGTTAAGATGGTCTAATTACCAACTTCCCTTGAGTACAAGCTTTGCAAGGGTTATCATTTGAGGCATCAATGTGTCTGCTCACTAATGGATGTCTATTAGAGTTGGTAATGATCCTACGCATCATGATAGATCCTGGATAACCCAGACGGTCATGCCAAAGCATGTAAACCTTTGAATCAATGAACTTCTGGTTCATGACAATATGTGATTCAATTGTCCTTATGTATGTATAATATAATCCACTCGACATACCACGCAACTTCTCCAATATACGCTTCTGGGTATCATTAGAGGTAATGCATAGATACTCCACATTTTTTGCACTTTTTGTTTCAATGTGGTATCCATTTAGACGTATGTCTTTGAAACTCAACAAATTTCGAGTAGATCGAGCAGTATACAATGCATTCTGTATGGACAATATTGTTCCATTTGGTAACATAATCTGGGCTTGCCCTGAACCTTGAATTACATCTGAAGGTCCTGATATTGTTGTTACATCTACTCTTGTAAGTCTTAAGCTTGAGAAATACTTTCGATCACGAAGTATTGTATGTGTGGTTGCACTGTCTGCAAGACAAATATCTCCGCCATTTCTCATGTTCTGAGAATAACCACAATTTTTATCCATGCTCTCTGAGTAAGAGAATCAGAGTTAAAAGCAAGTTATAACAAGAAATTTACATGCCACTTTTATTGAGTCTGAAAATACTACAAGTTCAGCATAATAAAAGTACATTAATGATTCAATCAGACCGGTATACTTCATTTCCCCTTTCCACAATATAGTCTGAAACATCTAGATGAGTTGTGTTCAACTGCCCTGATAAGTCAAACACTGGATCAGGTATATCCATTGGTCTAGCCTGGTCGAGAAAGTTGGTCTCGACACCCTTCTCCTTGAGGGAGACTTGATATAGATCCACTAGATGTTTTGGGGTACGACAAGTACGCGCCCAATGCCCATTGCCACCACACCTATGGCAGGCTCCTTCAGAGTTTCTAGGAGCATTGTTCATATGAGCTTTGCCTTTGTGGCGATTCACATTTTTGAAGCTCGGGCCTGAATTATTCCTGGGAACCTGGTTATGAAACTGAACTCCATGGTTCTTGCCTTTCCTATTCCATCGACCTCGCTTGTGGCCACGTCCTCGTTTATGATTATCACCACCAGAGGATGTGGCGTTCACTCCGAGGGAAGCAGCATTCACTTCTGGGAATGGTGCAGATCCAGTAGGTCGGGAATGATGGTTTTTTATCAGGAGCTCATCATTCTGTTCAGCTACTAAGAGCACAGATATCAGCTGGTTGTACTCAGTGTAGCCTCGCGCTCTATACTGCTGCTGCAGGAGCACGTTGGAGGCATGAAATGTGCTGAGAGTCTTTTCCAGCATATGCTCCTCAGTAATAATATCCCCACAGAGCTTCATCTGAGAGGTAATTCTGAACAATGCAGAATTGTATTCTGCCACTGACTTGAAGTCTTTAATCCTCAGATGAGTCCACTCATAGCGGGCCCTTGGAAGAATCACCGTTGTCTGGTGATTGTATCTGTTTCTCAAGGCATTCTAGAGAGCTAACGGATCTTCAACCGTTAAGTACTCACTCTTTAGCGCCTCATCAAGATGGCGGCGAATGAAAATCATGGCCTTTGCCCGATCTTGAGAGGATGAGTTGCTCTCTTCCCTGATGGTATCTCCAAGATTCCCTGCTTCCAGATGGATATTGGTATTCAGTACCCAGGTCAGGTAATTCTTCCCGGTAATATCCAGGGCAGCAAATTCAAGCTTCGCCAAGTTCGCCATTTTCTTTTCTGAAAGAAAATGAGATGTGTAAGAACTTGCAATAATATGTATTCCTAGAGGAATATGATGTTAGAACTTCTGGTTCTTACAAATTTTTCATTTTGATCTTCAGGCCAAAAATGATAAGCACTCGAAACTTCTGGCTCGAGATTTTCAGGGTGAATGAGGAGGGCGATTGTACCGCACCATTCTCATTGAAATAATGTAATATAGAATGGGCGATTATTCCGCACCACTCAAGTAACAGGAAATTTAAATATGCAGAGCAGCGTGGGCGATTATACCGCACCACATAAAATTGCAATGAAATTAAACAGCAGGTAAATTCGAATATGCAGGGTAGGGTGTGCGATTATACTGCTCCACCTAAAAATTGCAATAAAATTAAATCTGCAGTCCAAGATAGGCGATGATACTGCACCGTCTTGGATCGCAATAAGATTAAATTTGCAGTTCAAGATGGGCGATTGTACCGCACCATCTTGGATTGCAGTAGAATTAACACAAATAAATACTGGGTTAGTAATCAATCTCTACACCAAACAAGTAATCAAAGATGTATGTAACCGTTAGTTGGAGAACTAAGAGCAGGCATGGAGCAAACAACTCGTCGCGAGGGTACATGGCGCAGTTGAGGCAGAGGAAGAAGATGAACAGTAAAAACTTTAAAGGAAACATTTTTTTTTTCTTTCTTTCGTTCGTTCGGCGAAGAGAGATAAGAGAATAATTATATTTAGAGACTCGTGCTGATAACGTGTTATAAAAAGGGTTAAAGTTTGAGAGAATAACCTTTTAGTAGTAGGTGCAAGGTAGATGTAAAATGTCACACTAAAACTTATAGCACAAGAGGATAACAAATAAAAGGCAGAGAAATAGATGATGTTACTGATATTTCTCTCTTGTTTTCTTTTTCTTATATATTCTGTTCTATGAAAACATGCGGAGTGCTCTATTTATAGAGCAACTCCAAGTTAATGCATCTTGTAATTTCGTCTGACTATACAATCTCTTTCACTTTGCATGGGCATTGAAAACTTTGCCCATGCTGAAGACTTTTGCTTTGTGGGCATTCATTGCCATCAAATTGAAGACTTTTGCTTTGTGGGCATTCATTGCCATCAGACTGAAGACTTTTCAACAATATCCAATTTGTATTAACATCCATTAACCCTCTCAAGTCTCTATCCACAATATCTTAAGACCTTAAACAAAATGGGATACAACTGCAAACTGATGCTGTGCATCTGCTCCGTGGCATTAATCTTAGCTCGCGTCTCCTCAGCCACTTCCGGAAGAGATATTAGAGGCTTCATCGATAAACACAACAAAGCTCGGGCAGCGGTCGGTGTCTGTCCGATCAAATGTAACGAGGCCATAGCAAGGTATGCACAAAGCTATGCCGACGTAAGATCTAGGGACTGCGCAATGGAGCACTCGATGGGGCCTTATGGTGAGAACATAGCCTTAGGTGAAGGCATGACGGGTGCAGCTGCTGTCAAGTATTGGGTTACCGAGAAGGAGTTCTATGACTACAACCAAAACAAATGTGTCAACGGCGAATGTGGTCACTACCTTGCTTTGATTTGGAGCAAATCAACCTATGTTGGTTGTGCCACGTCGTTGTGCACGAATGGACAAACCTTCATCGTTTGCGATTATGATCCTTCTAAAATAGATGGCGAGCACTCTTACTAAATGAGTAATAAAACTTACATTATAACCTTGTACCTTTAGCACTTGTTCACCCGTCACATGATAGGTCATGTTACGAGTGTGCTTTTCTCATGCATACTAGACACGACCATGTTTTGGTTGGTCTTCTGTTTTCTTCTTTTGGATAAGAAATTGGAAAAGAAAAAGGACCGAGAGAGACATGTAATTGGTGTACACCTTAAAAAGAATAAAAATCATTTCAATTTTTCTTCCTCAAATCAAATCTCTCCCATTTGTTTCCTCTCCATATCACTAAATGGTGAAATTTTCTTCCATGTTACCCTTTACACATTTATGTAAAGGAATCGTTATTAGCACTATTTTCATTATAAATTTCTCACAATTGTAGTTTTTTTAAATATAAAAAAATTAGAGTACAAAATAAATATTTAGAGTGTTAATAATAATTCTCTTACGAGACTGCTATTAGCGTTCTAATTTTTTTTTCCCTTCTCCATGAAGGAACGTGTGATGACTTTCATGGAACTGCACTTTTAAATTGTATTAGAGTTCGTTTGGATGTACTTTTAAAATAACTAAAAGCGCTTTTGGTGAAAATAATTTTAAAGCAAATCTTTAGTAAAGATGCAAGTGAATCCTAAAAAAGCACTTAAAATGTTTCTTGGAAGAAGCACATAACTGATGCTTCTTGCAAAAAGCACTTTAAGTGCTTTTGGAATCCAAAAATATTTTCTTAAAAACGCTTTCAATTATTTTAAAAGCATATCCAAATAAGCTCTTAATCAATATGTGAAATGCACTTTTAAATTGTCTATTGTATTTTAAAAATCCATATGTGAACTGCACTTTTAAATTGTCTATTGTATTTTAATAATCCAAAACGTTTAATATTAGGTTTCTCTCCAAGTTCATTCTTATAAAAGCTCACTCGATTCTGAGTTCATTTAACCACTTAAATATGTGACAATCATTGGAACGTTATCTTGAAATACGTATACCATGTATGTTTGTTTATCTTTTCTAACGCATCACTTGTAATACTACAGCAGTACAGTTTTAATTTGTAAAAGGTATTTGAACCCTAACTGTATACCAGCTCCAACAATTGAACCTGATAAGAAAATAGTAAAACAAAAGCTCAAAGATGCACAAAATTACAATCAACCCGCGTATTCTATGATCATAAAGCCCCGAAATTACAACCAATCTGCATATTCTATCACCATTAAGCCCGGAAAGTTTCTCGGTAAGGCATCTGTAACATTTTCTTGTACATTGAGTAACACGACCAAGCATATATAACACACAAATCCATCCAGCAGAATATGAGCCCCATACGTACAAGCAAAGGAATCGAACAAACGAACATCTTAACCCTACTCATGTTTTTCTACACTAATTGTATCGGCCAATGCAGGCCTTTCAGTTGCTTCCTCAATCTCTGAACCAGCTCTGACCCGGCTGACACTTGAGATTGCACTGTCGTCCAGAGAATCACTGGCTAGCTTTGTTGGGGTCATAGGGGTGTTAGAACCAGAAGTATGCCCTTCCAAATGTTTTGGCTGATTTAAGGCGTGGCAGTGCGGGCAAAAATAAGTGATGTAAGGGAAATCTTCCTTCTTAGCAAGCCCTGCAAAGAGAAACAAATGAGACCGTTTGATTCAAGCAAAAGAATGAAAGAAAACTAACACTGAGGAGAGTACTATAAGATTCGGATGTTGATAACCTACCGTTGTGCATATGACAGTTGCCGCATATGAGTGCATAAGACTGTGTTGGATCCTCACCCACAAGTAATGCTGCAATCCGAGCAATCCATCCTCCATCCTGTGGAGATGGTCCTTGAGGATTATGATGACTAACGACTAGCTGATTATACTCGGAAGTCTGACCGTCAGACCTTGCAGAACGAGGTGTCTCTTCTTCAAGAGGATTCAGCGGGACACTCCCAGTACTATTCGATCTGGTGTGTACTGGTTTACGGTTTCGAAGTTCACCAGAGTGGACAAGTTCAGCATCATGGCTTTTCCCTGTTGAGGCATTACCCTTAGATTCATCTCCCACATAAAATTTCATACCTGAATCTGTACCCAACTTAGACGCCAGGACAGTTGCAGCAGCTGCCTTTGCTGCTGGGTCAGGATCATATCTCTGCATAAATGACATAATTTAAGCGCAAAACAAGGAACATCTTCACATATACCATTCTTCAAACACAAACCAGTGAGGATTTCCATAAAGTTATAAATAAATAGCATAAAACCCAGCAAAGGGGTATACAAGAGCCAAGTCTGGCACAGTGCTCACAAAGAACCAAACATTTCACTTCAGCCCACAAGAACGGTTTCTTCGGTTCACTTTACGTGAGCTCCTGGAGTTCTTTCAACCAAAATTAGTAAATAACATCTAAGAAACTCTATAAAACCATTCAAACAGTCAACTCAGGTAACTCAGATGAAACTAGGGTCTAGGAAATCCCCATTCTCAACCACCTTGTTTGGATAACATTTAAAAGGAATCTGCAAAACAAGGGTTCACTAAAACATAAAAAAGCCTCAACTACTCTAGAGGTGGGTTTTCGCAATCCTCTCTGGAGTCCCAAACCTCCCCATCGTCAATCTCACGTCCTCCACTCCTCTCCAAATCCAAGCTCATTGATCTCACATCTCCTCTTCTCCTCCATCAAACCCCACCTCTCTGAACCCACCGTTGAGTGCTTCCTCTCTGACAACTTTGAGTGCACAGTCAAACCCCTCGATGTCCGCAACTCCATTCGCAACATATCAATGTCATCATCCAATTCTTTGACCGACATCATCATCCAAATCTTCATCTTTTCTCCAGCCTATTCGTCTTCTCCGGGGTCGTCTTCTCCAGCTTTCAATCCTTGTTCTTTTCATGCTATTTTTATTGAAACAAAATTATTTATTATATTTTTATTTAACAAGCATTTATCATGATTAGGACTGTTGGATAATTTTTACCGGACTTCTTTATTCCTTTTTGGCTTTTTCCATTTTTGATTTATGCATTTTTTTTTAATTTCAATAAATTTGAATTTATCCTTTTCCAATTTTTTTTAATATTTAATTTTATCATGCTTGTTGAATTTGAAGTTATTGTATTTCAATTTTATGTTTGTTGTGTACAATCAGGATTATGTTCCAGATTTCTTCTTTTTTCCAATCATGATTTCTATATTATTTTTTCAAATGGCTGACAAATAAAAACTAAGCAGATCTCAAAACCCAGGTTTTTCAATCCCACCATCACTTGATCCCCTCATATCCAAACAAGAAACTTCAAAACTCAGCATCCTTAATCCCTTCACTCCTTACTCCCATCATTGACAAATCCCTTGGAGCCAACAAAACCCCCACCAAAACAGGCCCATAAGGGAAAAATGATGCATCAAAACCTACCCTATTCACCCGATAAAAGTTCAACAAACTAACAGAAATACCAAAAAGAAATCAATAATGAGACATAAAGACGTACAATGTTTGCAATATAGTAACAAAACTCTTCCTAATCGTTACCTGAATAAGTTGTTGAGTAGTGTAATAGTTTGTCCTCTCTTTAAGTTCATCAATTTTTGCTTGCCTTTCAGCTCGAAGCCTTTCCAGGGTTTTGGTGTCCTTGCGATCACCTATACGTTGAAACATATGGATATCAGATTGCTGATGCATGTCGGCGCATAACATTAGACAAATGCCTTTCAATTAGTGGCGGCATCCTATTTGGAAATTGAGTCAAAGAAAAAGATGGGTTCATATACCAATGATCAAAAGCATTCAATAAACATTTTAAATCAACAGTAATTAACTAATGAAAAACATCCTAGCTCTAGTTTCTAGCCTTTTGTCAATGATCCATTACAACGCCAACATGGTGCTAGGCTCCTAAACCCATATGTTTGATGCTTCAATATGGACTTCATAAGATACAGACATGCATGAAAGCTGACAAGCAGACTCACAACATACATAATTTACAAAAAATAACATCTCAAGAAAGGCATGATATACGTACACATTGAAACAGTATTGAACTTTGAAAATTATGAATACAGCTTTCCTGCTCTAAATGCCATATGATGAGAAATACACACCATGTACACTAAAAACATACGATGAGGCTTAAAAAACTCAATAAAAACAAAGTCAGAAGCCTCCAACGCAAGGATACAACCGAAATGCTATCACAAACACGGAAACCAGATGCCTTTGCAAAACAAATGTTCCAGATATGATCACATGAACATAACAAAAATAAGCAAGCTGTAAAGTTTTAGACACTCACGCATCCTTGTGAAGCTCGCAAATGCTGAATATGAAACAGAAGATATAGCAGGCAAAAGAAACATGGGCAGAATACGAAATGTCCTCATCTTCCAATCTAAATCCGTCGCTCTCGTCGTTACTATAGCATAAACAATTGCAATAACCTGAAATTGACAAAATTAAGCAAAACCCAGCATTCTTCTCCGATACTATCACACTTCAAAACTCCATTCCAAGAAGCTTAACAACTGTTGTGGTGCATTCTTAAACCTTTAATGGACATTGGCACGAAAAATGGGAATCCTCAACAAAACCCTAATTAATGGGTTTTACAAATTTACAGCGATTAATTATGCAAAGCAAGAGATTTTCAATAACCTCAAAGAAGACGGAGAAGAGAATGAGATGTCTAGTCATGCGCCTCCAAGTAATGGTCCGCCTCTGCATTCTAGCGAGGACAGTGGCTTCCTCTTTCGAAATGTACTGAAGCCGCTTCTCGAAATCGTCGCGGTGTAATCGGAAGATCCCACTGAACATTCTAGAGAAAATTCCCTGCCGCTTCTTCTTCGCAACCGCAGGCGCCGCCGCCGCAGCCGCGGCGTCCTTCTTGTCGCCTTCTCCTCCTACGGCTTTATCCTCCGCCATTACACCAATTTTGCGGTTCTCTATCTCTTTCTATAATATAATAGACAAATTGAAAGCAAAAAGTAAAGCAAACATCGATTAATCAAAATACTGAGACGAAATATGATCCGGAAGATTGAGAAAGTCGTGGGAGAGAGAGAAAGAGAGGACCTTGAAAATGGCGATGGCGGATCGAGAGAAGGTTGAATCGATTCGAACTTTCTGGATGTTGGGGGTAATGATGGAAATCGACAAAAAGAAGAGAAGTCCGTGAGGGCAACGCAGAGCTCTGATCGATGGAGGGAGAGAGAGAGGGAGAGGATGGAGAGAGAGAGTATCGGCGATGGAGTGAGAGTGTCGAGGGAAAAAGGAGGAGAGAAAGGGGGTCTTCAAAAATCGGGGTTTTCTTTTATTTCATTCCTTTTTTTGATTTCGTTGTGGTTTTTTTCGCACGACAACGCGAAGCAGGAGTACACGGTGAGTGGGACCCACATCGGACCGCAGAGACCGTGTTCGTTGGAGTGCACGACCGACCCCCGCCAGCTCTCCAACCACGCTGTGCTGGACCCTATTAAAATCCCCCCGCCAAAAAGTCTATTCTGCTAACTACTCAACCACCTTTCAGCGTAATTAACTAATTTTAATTTGTTTGCGCTTTTAGACATCAATTAATAATACAAAAAACATCATTCTTACTACATATATGTACTATTATTTGTACAAATAATAAGATTTACATGTGTAGATGGATGGTACGAATATGTGGTAAGTATAACATTAGTTTTAATAATAATAACTAAAAATTTTAGAAGATGGTATGCAATTCAATTGTTTCTTGATTCAAATCGGTCTAGTAAGTTTAACTAATTGTTTCTAATGTTAAAAGATATCCGATGTTAGAATTTCGATGCGCCTTGATAAAATGGTGTAACACTTTTAAGTGTTTCAAATATAATAATTTTCATATTTTGATAAATACATGCTCCCAAAGGGGATCAAAATTTTCATTTTCTTGAAATTCGAATTTGAGGCAAAGTTTCCTTTATTAACTTTTGTAACAGATAAGTCGTGAATAAGAATAATACATTTGGTACTCATTTTTATTTTTAATGTTTAGTCAACGTATGATCTGTCAACAGGAGATTAATGTCTCTACCTACCTATTCTAAACATGTCATAGTGACTTGTAGGGGTGGGCATGGTGGGCCAAAACTGACACCAAACCGACCTAGTCGGCTGGGCTAAAATTGCAAGCCGAAACCGGCCAAGCTCGGTCTAAAACTGATCAGGTTGGTTAACCGACAATGGCAGGTTGGTTTGGGTCGATTCTCGGTTTGTGTGAAGATGAAAACACATAACAAATTTATGTCCGAATTACATAATGTAACATCAATCTAAGTGATTGCTCAAAGGAAAGCATAAATGAAGCAACCCAAGGAGAGCACCAAAGCTGACCCCTTCTCCAAATGGTCCCCCTTGTTCTTCTCCAAAAGGACTGTTTAACTAATCAGGTTTTGTTTTCATGTGGTGAAAACACGTTAACTCATAAATAACTAACCATTTATATTACTACAATTATGATTAAAAAAATAAAATAAAATATATGCAAATCGGTTCGATTAACCGGATCCTAAAAATTTTGAAAACCAATTGCCAAACCGATTAAGGTTTGTGCGATTTGGTTAAACTACCAAAAATAAAAAATAAAAAAAATAAAAATAAAAATAAAAAATAAAAAATAAAAAAACCAAACCAAAGTCGTCCTTGCGGTTTACTTGGTTTTTTTTTTAATTTAATTTAATTTTTTAAAGCCCAGCCCTAGTAACTTGCGAAGAAGGAAAAGAAAAGAATCTTGTTTTGAGATGCTACAACGAAGAAGCCAGGAAACCGTTTCCAAAAGAAAGCATTCCAGATTTTCTTTCTGACCTTTTGGTTTTGAAGAACTGGCTGAAAGTTTAGCATAAGGGGTCTTTTCTTGCATCCTTTTCCTCTCATAGCTGCAAAACGCTTTGTTAATGGTTTTCACCGATCTGATCGCCTCTTGGTTTTCCAGAAAATGAACATTTGCGCTAGGATTAAAGGCCGAATTCTATAGTTCCTGTACAGAATTATGCAAGGATGACTCGGAAGCTAACAGTTATGGACACTGGAAACCAATGTGTTACATTCTCTACTACGAAGAATGAAAAGTTTAAAGCAAAATTTAATACTTTGCGGTAACTTTCCAGCCTGCAAATTTCTTTCACAAGCAGAAAACTGCCATTATCAGAAGGGATTCTATGGAATCTAAATCCTCCGAAACTGGAGGAATTACATGTTGAATCATGATGAATTGAAAATGAAAGACATGTGGAGCGTGCATATATGCAATCAATCCCGTATCATCTCTGCTGTATAGCGGTATAAACATCTGCATGCGAAAATAAAGCATTCAAAAGGAAGATCTTGTTCTCATTACATGTGCGAGTTCACTCTTGTTACCTTTAATTTTTAAACACATAAACAAACCCCAAAAAACTCTTGTTACCTTTAATTTTTAAACACAAAAACAAACCCCAAAAAACTGCAGAGTGACTGATTCAGATACATATTGTCTCAATAAAACTGCACATATATCCCTAAACAATGTAAAGCATTACAATAAGTATGATAAATATGAGTTAGAAGGATACTGATTGAATAAACCAACCTGAACAACTATAGGTGAAGCATGCTTGGCAAAGTCCTGCTGAATATACTCCGTCACGTCAGGATTTGTTCCTTAAAATGGTGGTCAAATATGTAGGATGTTGGGCCCAATGCCCCCCATCCAATCTTCACAAGTATATGAAAGGATTCTGCTTCCATGAAAGGAATGATCAGATCTGATCACAGTTTAAGGAGCAGGATCATCAATCCAAAGACTGAAGGCCACCTGTCAACTGCTTGATCCTGTAAGAGTTTTGCAAAGAACAATCAGTGACCACTGACCATTTAACTCTCAGAATATGAACACAATAGTTTGAAGCCCTAAGTTGATAAGGACTAGACTTGACCAAAAACTATCTTATCCATTCCAACATAAGCTATCAAGTTCAAACATAACACACCCAACTAGACAAACGTCTTCGGATGTTAGTAGTCTAGTAGTTTGAGCTTTCCATTGACCACAATTACCAAACAGTCATTAATACACAAATACCAACAAACAAAAAAATCACTGAAATTGTAATGAAACATTTGTGGAAACACATACCTTCCTTAAAAGCATATAAAGGGTTCAAGTTTGCCACAAGCAGAAAACTGCCAATCAGAATGGATTCTATGGACTTTAATCCAAGTATTTTGACTTGCATGCCAAAATGACAATGTTCGAACATGCTCTACACGTAGTCTGAATTTACTGACGAGGACAACTCACTTCCCCTTCTCAGCCACTTCTGGTAAACACCAAATGCCATGTCAGGCTCCTTAATTTTGCATTACTTCTTGAAAAGCATCTGATATGGAACATGATCAATGTGTAAACCAGATTCCCGCATCTTTGTAAAAAGCTCTTCTGCCTCCTTCATGTTTCCTCTCATGCAGTGCCCTCTGATTAGTGCAGCATAGGTAAATATATCTGGATCAAATCCTATTCTCAGCATTTCATCATGTAACCGGAATGCAAAATAAATGTGCCCTAACTTACAAGCAGCACCTATCAACAAATTATAAGTGACCACATCAGGACAAAGACCAGACATAAGCATTTCCTTTTTGAGAACAAGACCACGATCAATGTTTCCTCCTTTTACTTGTGCGTGGATCAACGCATTGTAAGTATACACATTTGGTTGAACACCAGAAGCTAACATACGATCCTTGACCGAGAGTGCAGTACTAAGATCCCCATATCTTCCATAACAATTGATAATACAATTCCATAGTAGAGGCTCAGGCACCATTGACTTCTCTAGCATACAAAGAAGAAACTTGTTAGCTCTGAAAACATCTCCTTTAATACACAGGCCCTGAATGATTATTTTGTATGAAATTTGATCTGGAATAACTCCCATTTTTGACATAGTTTCATGGACGTAGCAAGCCTCCTCTAATTTTCCTTCTTTGCAAAGGCCACTTATAAGTGTATTAAAAGTAATAACATTAGGAAGTAATCCTCTTTTGATCATTTCACAAAAGGAACCGTAAGCAAGGTTCATGTCTCGACTCAAACAAAATCCATGGATGAGAACATTATAAGCAACGACATCTATTTGGGTATTCATTTGAACCATGTCATCCCAAATACGAAGTGCCTGAACTGTATTCCCGTTTTTAAGATAACCATCCATAAGTGTAGTTGAGGTGATTAGATCTAATGCTGTCTTGTCATTATAAACACCCAATATCTTGTTAAGAAGCTTCTTTGCATTCTCCATAAGACCTTTCTTGCACAATGCATGTACAAGTATGTTGCAAGTGACTCTATTCGGACTAATACCACTGTTAATCATCGTGGAGAAAAGATAAAGAGCTTTGTCCACATCATCAATAAGGCAATAACCCTTAATAAACGTGTTGTATGTGGCGCAGTTGGGAGAAGGGCCAATTTCTAACATCTCTCTAATAAGCCAATCTGCCTTCTCCAAGTCACCAGTTTTACATAGTCTGTTTAGAAGATAATTGTGTGTCAAAACATCAGGAACAAAGCCTTTCTTTATCATTTTTCTCCGAAGCCAAAAAGCTGTTCCCAACTTACCATCCATGCATAAAACCCTTATGATGCCCACATGATCCATGCAGTTAACTTTCGAAGTGCAACTTATAAAGCCTATCTCTGTCATTGATATGCTTTCCCTGCAATTTTTCATATAATCAACAAAAGCATGTAATGAAATATTAACTATGAAATATGTATCAATCCTTGAGCACTAGTCCCTATCTATCAAACAAGATTGCGAATTTGATAAAAATTACAAAGACCGAAAACTGACCTCATTGTTTTCAGACGTTCCAAACTGTCCTTCAACATTGCATCCAACGCATTGAAAACTGCATGTGGATCTTGTTCACCATCGGAATTATTTTTCTTTGAAAACCAATGTTGAGCACTCAAATGGTAATTCTCATTCCAATTTTTCATGAAATCCTCAAAAGTAGTTGGAAGTACATCCTTACCCCTACATTTCCCACATTTGAGAGCACCATAAGGTTTCTAGCAATAACTAATACCCACTGCAAACTGTTAGTTTTCTTTTTCCTCCTTTCTACCCAGTTTTTTCTCAGCAACCAAACAGAAAATTAAGAGTATAACTAAGAAAATGACAAGTAATAATATCATATTTCCATTAAGGCTTAGGTTTCTTCTTCCCCTTTTCTGCTCAATTTTCTCGGAAACCAAACAGAAAATTAGAAAATGACAAGTAATAATATCACATCTCCATTAAAGCTTAGGGTTTTTCTTCCTCTTTTCTACTCAATTTTCTCGGAAACCAAACAGAAAATTAGAAAATGACAAGTAATAATACCATATCTCCCTTAAAGCTTAGGTTTTTATCCTTCCTCTTTTCTACTCAATTTTCTCAGCATTCAAACAGCAGAGTAAGATTAAGATATGACAACAAGTTACCTGGCGTTGGCATCAGAGTCAGCTTGGCAGCACAAAATGTTGACAAAAATGCGAGCAATGTTGTGCTTGATGGAGTCGAGGGTTCGATTCAAACATCTCAGAAGGGCAATGTGGGACGGCGACGACTCTCCGCACGCGATTACAAGCTGCAAACCCCACACCAAACAATCAAATAAACAATCGATACAAAAACATATACATATACACATATATATTAGGGATTTTGGACTGACTGCCATTGGAGGCGTTCTGTGAAGAACTTGAAGGATTTTCAGAAAGAAGAAGAAGACGATATGGGGAGTATTTGTTCTGCTGCTGCTGTTTCTTCTTCTTCTTCTTCCTTGACTCCGTTACCAACGGTTTGAGACTGAGGCTGGCCTTTGCCTCGGATTGGTTTTTCTCCTGTGGGAGGTTAGCTCCCGACGGCGTGAGTTTTCGGAAGCGGATCCAAGTGGCTCATATTCTGTTGAAGATTGAGGAACCCGAATGTACAAATTGGGGCGGGTCGGAGGGCCAACCAGACTCGAATAATATGGGCCTCAAATCAGCAAAATGGCCCAATAGTTTAAGGCCCATATCCCTTTAGATTATACATTATTTAGTTTTTTATTCTTTAATATTTCTATTACTATGTTTGCAAGCCAGAACGGTGAACCCTATCAGCATTTTTTTTAAAATTATTATTATTCAAACAATTATAATAATTCAGAGAATGGAAAGTTTCGAACTCAGAATTCATGGGTTGAAGCCTAACACCTTATCTCAATTATAAGTAAGGATCTTCGGTTCAAATACCCCTTCCCGATTGTAACTTTATAAAAATAAAAATAAAATATTGCTTGAAAAAAATCACCTAAACTTAATTCGGATTTGATCAAGTTGGTAATTTCTCAATCCACGATTATGAGCAACTTATACTTCCTTCGGCTGTCTTCCTTCGAAATTTGCGCCTCTGCAGCCGAGATCTTGTCCTGGTTTTGGTGCTTACTGGCATTTACAAACTTGAGAGGTACAACCGGCTTGATATGTGCCATTCCGAGGAAGTTCCGTTTATCTTTGGGAAGCGATCGTAGTTGAGGAAGCCAGTAGGACACATACTCGCCTTCACGATCGTAATTCTGCGCCTTAAAAGGTGACAAAAACATCTTAGCTACCATAAGTTTTTTAAGCTCTTGCAGAGCTCCAAACGTAGTTCATCTAAAATTTGTGAAGAAATCTGCGCTACGCATTTGCAGTTCAGAGTGGGGTTTTATTGTAAGAAGATGACATGGACCAACGACGAAAATTTGGTTAGTAGACCTTACATGAAAAGGAATTTTAGCTAAAATGATCACTGAGATTGGCAGAACTTCTTACATTGGTTCATGTAATTTGAAATTAATAGAAGTGATTCATAAGGTTGTCCATCATCAATCATTTTGTTCCTTCTGTAAAAATCTATGTTAAATAAGAACCAAAATAATAAAATATCCTCAATTTAATAAACAATAATTCAAAATGATTTGACAAAAATTGAGAATGGTTTTGTCATTTCTCCTTATTTAAAGTAGATTTTCCACGGAATGATAAAATGATTGAGGGCGAACAAACTCAGAGACCAGTTATATTGATTTTAATTCTCAAGCACCAAGAGACCAGTTATATTGATTTTAATTTTCAAGCACCAAAGTAAGAAGTTGTATCAATTTGCATCTTTTGTACATTTGAACGTCCAGTTAGCTATTAAAATGATGAGTTTTTTATGGGCTTTTAGTCAAAATGATCACTAAGATTAGCATAACTCCTCACTTTGTTTCCCTGAGATTTAAAATTGATAGAAATTGTCCCTAAGTTTAATCAATGTCAATCATTTTGGTCATTCAATAAAAAATATCCCAGCTAAATAAGACCAAAATGACAAAATTACCCTCAAACTTTGTCAAATCATTTTGGCCCATTATTTATCATATTAAAGGTATTTTTGTCATTTTTGTCCTTATAACCGAGAATTTTATGAAATAACCAGAATGATTGATGATGGACAAACTCAGAGACCATTTTTATCGATTTCAAATCTCAATGACCAAAATGAGGAGTTATGCCAATCTCATAAATCATTTTGGTTCAAATACATTTTTAGGCTATGTGGTGTAAATGTGACTTAAATATCAAATTAGTTACAGATTTCATGCTCACGATGTCATCAATTTAATGAAAATCCAAATAATTCAATAGAAAAAAGTGTAAATTGACACAATTTCAAAACTTTACAGGATAGTATGAGAAAATTGAAGCATCGTGATGCATTTTGAAAACCAACCCAAATATGAAGGGGTCAAAGATAATTACGCAAAAAATGAAATAACACTACCTTTAAAAACTATTCACTCTCACGAGAGAGAAAAATGTTCCTAATGAACATGGTTGTTGTAGAAATTAGTGTGCATGGTTATATAATAGAACTATTGTTTTTTTTTTTTTTTTTGTAGGGAAAAGTTGCTTTATTCCAACACAATAATTACACAAGAAAATGCTTAAATACATACACATAAACAAAAATAAGGACCTCAGAAGCAACTAAAGAGCCCAAAACAAAAGTTTGAGCCCAAAACAAAGAAAACACTGAACCAAACCCTATCAGCTTAAACTCGCAGTCGCCAGAAGCCGCTTACCAACCAACAAAAACAAACATTCCCTGCACACACCTAAAAACAAGCTGAACAGAGCCCCAAAACTAGAAGAAAACGGAGTGAAAAAAGAACCCCAAAACAAATCTCCAAACACCGCCGAGCACCACACCAGTAGCTGCCACACATCGGAAGAAGCTTGCGGGAAGAAGCAACCCGTTAGCAACAAGGCCAACAAAATGAAACCCATAACGAAGGAAGCCAGTGGGAAAGAGCAACCCACTAGCAACAGTGCCATCAAAGGCAATCCCAAGGAAGGTGGTGGTGTGAACACCCGAGTGAAAACTCTACTCTACACACGTTCCGGGTAAAACGCGAAAAATCTTGGTACAAAGATGGAGAAGCCAAACCAGGATGTGAAGTCGAAGAAGGATGGGGCTAATTGGGTGGAAGATGGAGTGAAGTGCCGAGGAAAGTGGAAGAAAAATGAGAAAAGGATGGAAAGAAGATGCAAAGAAAGGGAAAAAAGAAGAAACAGCAGAATGAAAAAAAAAAAAAGGAAAAAAAAAGTAGAAGGAAGGAAGAAGGAAAGTGGAAGGGAGGAGAGAAGGGAGAAAAAAGGGGGAAAAGTGGAAAGAAAGTGGAAGGGAGGAAGGAAACCAGGGAAAAAGGGGCTCCAGACAGAGAAACCAGGGCATAAGAAGTTGGAAGAAAGTGGCGATTAGACCCCTGGAGGGGGGAAACAGAAGCTCAGGGAGAAGGAAATGAAAAAAAAGTGTAAAATGAGAAGAAGAGGACTGCCACCGACCCTAGCCATAGCTAGGGTTGGCGGTTGCGGGAGGGATGAAACGGAGAAGCAATTTAACTTAAAACAACATCTACAAGAAACTTCAAAGAAAGGTTTAAATTTAACTAGCTCATCCCCCACCTAACTCCTCATTTTTAGTTGACTTGTTTGGTGTCAGTTTGTTTCTCTTCATTTACTTGAATTTTTTAGTATGTACATGCATTTTGTGTCAACACATATTTGATCGTTATAGGTGATTTGAGAATTTAAACTTAGTAAATGAGGACCATGTCAAATATGTGTCAAACCAAATGCATGTCCGTAATCACCTTATTCCTTTTTTTTGTGGGGTGGGAGGGTGGGAGCTTTTAGTTTATATACCAAATCAAAAAAAAAAAAAAAAAAATCAGCAAAAATACCATACTCATACTAATTGAAAAGTCAAACTAATTTGCTAGTTAAAATGACAATAATGCACAACCCTATCATCATGAGACCATATAAGTCATTAACCTTCTCAATGAATTGTGACTAACATGCATACGTAATACTTTTTATAGAGGATTCACTATGTTAATTGCTTAGGGCAGAGGGTGCAGTTCCTAAATTTCGAGCTCCGTCCAAAACCAGAGACGGCACCCTAAGTCCCAAGCTCCCTCCAAAGACATTCTAAAAATCTAAACCCATAATGATCAACCCCAGACAACAATGAACCATTTAAAACCCTAAAACCCTAAGTCAACCCCAAGTTCTAAGGCACCTTACAAAACTATAAAAGATGTGATACCCCGTCCTTAATTTGTCATATTTTATATTATCGAACTTACCAAATTGCCCTTGAGGTATGAACGTTGACTTTCGTTGACCGTCTCGTCATGATGTGTATTACTAATTTTCTTAGTTTATTCTTATTGTACTCATCGCCACAAACGCATGGGTGCAAACGGATTCGAATTTGAAGTTATAATGAAGATTTTACGTTTTCGAAACGTCGAACGTTTTTCGGATATTCCACGTTTCATTTTTAGTGACCTTAAATTGTGAGCCACTACGACCTACAATGAAAAGCTTGTCCCCTTGCTTTTCCCCTTTGTCCCATGCATCCCCCTCCCTTTTTTCTTTTTGTCACTTCTCTCTCCCTCTAAATTCTCTCATTTCTCTTCTGTCTCTCTAGCCTTCCCTCTCCAGGAAGCCAGCCCACAAATAACAACGACAACACTCCCACCACTGTCCAAACCAAGCTTTCAGATCGTCGAGATCGAAACCCAAGTCGGGCCGCGACCTTTCAGGCCATTTTCCGTCCAAACCACGAGGAGTTATCTGTTGAGAAAGGTACCATTCTCTTCATCTCGTCGAGAAGTATGATTTTCATTTTTGAATCACTCAATTTTCTTGAGTATTGAAGAAGTTATGAACTTTAAAATTTTCTTGAGTATTGAAGAAGTTATGAACGTTTAAAGTTTACCCAATTTCTGGTGACCTCCGCGGCTTTTGAGTCATTTTTTGGCCAAACCACGGCTAGTTAGGCATCGAAAAGGGTACCAATCTGTTCATCTCGTTCCGAGGTATGATTTTTGTTTTTGAATCACTCAATTTCATTGAGTATTGACAAAGTTATAAACGTTTAAAGTTTTCCATTTTTCTTGCGAGTTCCCAGTTTTCTCGTGAACCAGTCACCTTTTAGATTATTTTTCTGCCATCTCTGGCCACCATTGGACTTCCAAATATGTATAATCTTGTTCTACACTTTCCTATCTTCATTTTGATATATTATAAGTCGAATTTGGTTAAGAAACGAGTGAGTTATGAAGCTTTGAAAATTGCCCAGATTTCTAGCCAAAAACCCAGTTTTCGGTGGGTTTTCAGATGACCAAGTACACGCGACCCATTGAGCCAAACCGTTGACCCGTTGACCCGATCCGTTGACTTCTGTAGACCGTTGACTGGTCAACGTTGACTTTTGGGTTAACTTTTTAGAGTTTCGGCCAGGACCCCTCATAGACTAATTTCGCTCCGTTTTTTCAAATTCAATCGTTTTAGTAGAGTTTTATTAATTGGTCCTTTTATGTGCTTAAGTGTGTTTGTTAGTGGAGACCTCGTCCTCTCTAGTTTGAGCAACTATTCAGCGACGGAGTATCTGTGAGTGGACCCCTTCCAAAATGCATGATTTAATTACTAGAAATGCATACATGAAAAACATGATTACTACGTTTTATGAAATGTTTATGAGTAAATTGGATTTACACTTTATGAAATGTCACACTATCGGATTTACGTTCTTTGAAAGATTTATGATTATATACTATGAACATGGTTTATGATGATGATTTGAGCTAGAATGCTCCTATGATTTATGATATGATGTTTAAGCTATTGAGCTCCGATAAGATATATTTTGGAAAGATTATATTTATGATTTTATGTGCTTACTTAATGGATAATGATACTTATATATGCCTTTGGATGGGTTATAAAGGGCTTACGGGCGAATAATACGTATATATGGCTTTGGTCGGGTGATGAAGGGCCTACGGGCTAATGATACTTATATAAGACTTTGGTCGGGTGATGAAGGGCGTACGGGTGAATGATATTTATACATGGCTTCGGCCATGCGATGTAGTGCCTTCGGGCGGAAGATATTTATATATGGCTTCGGCCGGGCGATGAAGTACCTTCGGGGAGAAGATATTTATATATGGCTTTGGCCGAGCAATGCAGTGCCTTTGGGCGGAAGATATTTATATATGGCTTTGGCTGGGCGATGTAGTGCCTTCGGGCGGAAGATATTTATATATGACCTTTGGGTAGTGCCTTCGGGCGATTATGATACCACTACTAAGCACATTATATATTATATATGTTTTATGAAGGTTTTATGGCATGCTAGGGTTTTCGGAAAACCTATTACTACTTATGCTATATGAGTTTTCTAAACTGGGGGTTAGTACGTTGAAGAATAACTATTTTAGTATTACGTATGTATAAACTTGGTCCACTTATGTTTTGTTTTGCACCTTCTCAAGACCTAGGAACGAGGCATACAACCCGAGCTACAAGGCATTCCCATATCAATGAAATTGTGTCCTCTTATTTGCGTAAGACATCTCTTGTAATCACACTTTCTAATATTCCTTCCGCTTGTATTTCCACTTAGTAGGACGCTCCGAAGATGGCCGACTACGCCAAAGGGAATTTACTTGGAAGTCTTTATAATCACACTTCTAGCCCGAGTCAGAGTGATTATAAAAAACACTAGATCTGTCTCTAAGTTTTGCTGACTAATGCGAAAATAGTTAAGCACACAAATTAACCCTCTTGTTGTCAAATTGTAGTAAGGATGCAAGTAGGGATCGTTCTAGATCGGGGATTAGGAGGGCTTGCTAAAACCTCTAAATTGACTCAAAAACATAAAAACAAAGTTAAAAACGTTCACAAAGACTCAAAGGACTCAAAACAAGTTCAAAAGACTCAAAACTACCAAAAAACACTAAGGGGGCGTTTGTTGCACCGGACTGTCTCGGACTGTACTAGCTGCGGGGACTAAGCTGGACTGGCTTAGACTAGACTAAGCTGGACTAGCTTAGTAAAGCGTTTGGTGCAGTGTCAGACTAAAAAGAAAGATAATAACAAACTATAATATTATATTTTTTTAATTCATATCTAATAATATTATATTAATTAATTCTACCTTTTTTATTCTAATAATACTCTCCCTCTCTCTGGAAGCCTCCATCTTTTTCTCCCTCTTTATCTCCTTTGTTCTCTCCGTCCCACACTTTCCACCACGTCCGAAACCTCTCGATCGAGATCCCATCGGACGATCTCCAGTTCGGGAGGGAGCGAAAACCGGCTAAGCTGTGCAGATCGGAGACAGAGGCATCGAGATAGAGAGAGAGAGAGACTGGGGGAGAAAGATCGAAAGGGAGGAGGTTGAGAATCGACAGATCTGAAAGGTGTGAGAAATTGGAGATAGAGGCGTCGGGAGAGAGAGACTAAGGGAGAGAGAGATTGAGAGGGAAGAGACTGAGGAGAAGAGAGTCTTCGAGAAGGTGTGAGACACTCTGGTGGAGGTCGCGGTGGGGTGTGGGTGTGGATGTGGAGTGTTGCTTCGGGAAGGAGAGTTGCAGAGATGGGGGAGAAGAAACAAGGAGAGGAATGACGGAGAAGGTTCGAGAGATTGGGGAAGGGGGAAACACGGGGAAGTGGTGGAGAGCGCTTTCCAAGGTTTTCTCTCCGTCCCACGCTCTCCTTCCCTCCCCTATTTTTCAGGTTTTTATTCGGTGCCAGATTCGAAGGTTTTTATTCGGTGCAAGATTCGAACTGGAGAGAGCTTTCCAAGTCTGTGGATTCAATTGGAGCCGCAAGTCTGTGGAGCGGCAAAACCGGCCTGCAGCGATGCCTGGCAAGCTGACCGGCGATGAGTCGGGGTTTGTGGAGTTAGGGAAGTGAGAGACGGTGATGGCTTGGATTTCTTGGATCTATTTCTGTCAAACCCAATATTGCAGACTTGGAGATCCTCTGAGATAGAGAAGAGGAAGGAGGAGAGAAGCAAAGCAAGCAACACGAGGTGAAGCCTGAGGTGAAGAACAAACAGGGAGGTGAAGCAGTGAATCGTAGAACAGAAACACGAGGTGAAGCGAAGAACAAAAACGGGACTACGAATCCCCTCGTTTTTGGTGGCTCTCGCTAAGCCCACCTGGGGCAGGATTTAGTCGGCACGAGTCCGGCTTAATCTGTTGGAAGTATGCCCACAAAGTCACTCATTTGATGTAATAGCTTTTTGGAATACTTATTGTGTTAAACTTTTATATGTTTAATAGAAGGGCAAAGCTTATTGTTAATCACTATTTATAGTATCTTGTGTTTAAGCAATAAGGGAATCCAAGGAATGTATTTGATCTAAGAGACAAGTGATTTAAGTTAGTTAAATTAACGAGACCTTTCTCTTATGTTCATTCCTAAAACGTTCCTAGCCATAGGATTGCCAATTGGGCATTGACAATCCGCTAAGGTTAGTATGTGTTATGTCGACTCAAGCGTGAGTATGAACTAGTCTCAAGTCATTTGGTGTTGGACACTAAGGCAAACACATAGGTGCTCGAAAGAGTAATCGAGTACACTGAACAACGATCAAACAAGAGTTCGAACATACATGTCATGTGAGAACTCAATAGTTGCAATATGCAAAGTAGTCCTTTGACCTGAGGCATCATTGATGTCTAATGGTTAGGTCCTTGATCTTTGATTATGTCAACGGCATTCCATTGGAGTGTCCACGGCATTGTTGGGGTCAAGTTATCTAGTCATGTAGGCATATGAATGTACAACAAGGGATCTCTAACCTTCCATGATGGAAGGAGAATACTCTAAGATATGATTCGAGAGTCTTTGGCCAAAGCATATGAATATGACTAAGGAAGATGTTCCAAATCTTATTCAATTGAATCATATAGAGAAGTATCACATTGGATAGTAGACATGAAACAAACTATCACTTAAACAATGTGATTAAGAGTATTGTATTAGAGAAGGACCGTATTGCATTGTAGTTGTAACTGGATAGGTTCTCCAACCACTTCTACTTAGCTTGGGTAACCATGACATGCTGCTAGGCGTCACCCATGGTTTGTGGAAGCCCTAAAGATTAGCAAACACTAATTTAAGGGAGAATTGAAATGTGGTTTCAATTCACAATCGATCGTTAAGAGTAACATCGCCCACTACCTCGCTAATTGGAACCCAATGGATCGTACACCGAGTAAAGATATAAGTGAAGAAATTATATGAAATGGATAAGCAATTAAATGGTTTAATTGAAGAATGGTCAAGATTAATTAAATAGTTAATTAATTATACGAAACGTTCGTATTGGGCGTTTAAGTTAGTTTTGGGCTTCGGGGCACAAAAACGTTTTGGTCCACAAGGCCCATTATGTTTAAGTTGTATGACAACTAAAACAAAATGGGCAATTAAGCCCAAATACAACATATGGCCGGCCATAAGCTTCAAGGGTAGTGAACTTGGCTTAATTGCAAGTTTGCCACTCCATTGTGAGGTGGTATAAAGACATCTTTATAGCCATTTCACCCTAAAGGGTTTTCTAATTGAATTTGGGTGAAACCTATTCTCTCATTTTCACCTTAGGGGAGGAACATCTAGCAATCTTTCTTCCCTAAGTCATCCATTTCATCTTCACACAACATCTTTGGTGTAGAGACTTAGAGACACCAAACTTTTGGTGTTTTGGAGAACAAATCCTCAAATCCTCAAAGAAGAAAAGGAGCACTAAAAGGGAGGAAATCACAAGGAAGATTCAAGGAGCAAGGAGGTGACTTGAAGGCCCTCCACTTGGGTGAATCCCTTGTGCAATCAAGGATGAGCTTCAAGGGTAAAGAATCTCTAAATTCTTATTCTCTTTAATTTTGTTAAAGAGTCTTATGGTTCACCATATACTAGGCTTTGAAAGTCATGGGTTTTATGAATTGTTTTTGAATGCATGCCTACTTTAAAGAGTTATTAGTTTGCATATGTATTCAAATGTTCTTACATGTTCTTAGCTAGGACAAAATTTTTCCTTCATAATCCCATTAAACACAATCCTAATTTACACCAAACACTGGACTACTAATCCTAGCTAAGTAGTCCAATCCAGTGAAACTTAATCCGGCCAAACAAACGCGCCCTAAATAGGCAGTTTCTGACCTTAAACACAATTTTGGACAAATTTAAGATTATAGGTTGATTCAAAACACTTTAAAACACAAACTAAACAGATTCTAAACACTATAGAACAAGAAAGTAAAGGGGGGTTTTGATTTGACGAAAATTGAAATAACAAAACAAGTTATAAAACTAGGTAGATTGTAAAACGAATTTCTTGAAAACAAGATGATGGATGGATTAGTTAGAGGTCCATTCTCCACACATGACATATTTGTATATGAATCGATTCTCCAATTGCTTTTGACTAACTATGATGCTCAACACCCCAAGTTAACCGTGATGCACTAATTAACCTTCAAATCTTCCTTATGTCAATGAATTGGATGATGCATGCGACAATTCAAATTATTCTCCAACGGTCCTCAACATGAATGCATAGAAGAGATACAGTGAGAGATCATTATGCTCTATGAAAATCATAAGTGTTGACGAGGCAATTGTAACTATGAATGCATGATACTCTTGCCAAGAATTCAATTAACGTGGTTGTGACTAGCAACCTTCACTACTCATGTTTATAAACTTGTGACGATTAGGTGAAACTTGTTTATAAACTAGCATCAAGTTCATGCATGAAAACTAAGTATGCATCCTTAATCAACATACAAGAACAAGTTTTGAATAAAACAGATAATTGAATTGCAATCACAACTTAACAAATCACAATTGGAAGAAATCAGTTCATATCTCAAACATGTTCATGGCTTCAAACTTTCCCCTAACTAATTAGGGGTTTAGCCACTCATGATTACAGCAAACCCAGAGAGTAATAACAAAGTAAACATTGAAAACAAGAATGAAGTACACCTAAGAACGCTCCAATCTGCAAGCATGAACCGTTCAAGGTCTCATTCCTCTCCTAATTGCTGTGGCACAAGGGTTTAAGGTGAGTTTGGGGGGTTATGGATGATGTAGAATGATGGATTTAGGGTTGGGATGGATGTAGGGGACGGCAAGGCTTGGTTTTGGGCAGAAAGTATGAAGAATGGTGAAGTATGGATGTGTTAGAAGGATGGAATGAATTTCTGGCGTGAATGGTGAATGAATGGAGAGTTTTGTGGCTGCAACAAGGATGTTTATTTATAGGATTTCAGGAATTAAAACCCTAGGTTATTTAGGTAATCAGAATTTAAGTCAAAAGCTTTTAAAAATAGGAAATCAAATCAGAAATTTAAAGGAACCTACCTAAAAGTTGCGGCAAGGGCATAAAACACAAAAGGAATGTGTTTTAATGCAAGGGAATAGGAAAGAATCATCTCCCTTGCATGGCAAGGAAGAGGAAAGGTCAAGGGACCTTTGTTTTTTGTCCTAGAATGCATATGAAGTCTTCAAAGTGTTTGGGACATAAGGACAATTAGGATTTAGGAAATGTCAAACCAAGATAGGAAACCCTGGGCTTAACTTTCCTACTTCAAGTAGGAAACCTTCTTTGACTAGGATTCCTCATTTGATTAGGAATCCTCTTGTGATTAGGAATCCTCACTTCATTAGGTCTTCAATTTCGTCCATTCCTTTTGCTCCAAACATAAGCTATCCATTCCAAGCCCAATTTTGCTCCAAAATGCTCCAAAATGCACCTTTTTGCTCCTTTAGCCCTTAGAACCTAAAAACATACGAAAATGGCTTAAAAGACTTAAAGAACTAAGAAATAGCAACGTAAATGCACAAGAACAAGCCAACTAAGTCGCCTAAATATGCTCCTATCACTGACCTGCATTTCGAAAGAGTGTTTTTTCTTTCAGTTTCAGATATTTGCAAATTACTTACCATACTTGTTGGAAATCCATAGCAGCAAAAATGGCTGGACCTTTTATCAGCGATGAGGCTTCTCTCTCTGCTTCAGTCCAGCTGCTTTGCAAAAGGATTGATTCGTGTGAATTGGGTTACTCGTTCGGGCCAACCAAACTTGATAAGTCACTTGTGAATAAACTCAAGTTGGCGCTGCTGACCCTCGATGCAGTGCTCGACGAAGCACATGAGAAGGAATTTCGAGACGCTTCTGTAGCAAACTGGCTTGACGAGTTCAGAAAAGCAGTCTCTGATACGAAGGCCCTACTGGATGAGATCGATGTGTCCCGGAATAAGATGGAAGCAGAAGATCAGTCCACGATTAAAACCCCCGTGAACATCCTCTCTGATTCTTTTCAACGCGTGGATAGAGAGATAGCCGAGTTATCTAAGAGACTAGAATTCCTTGCAAACAAAAAAGATGTGCTCGGTCTTGGAAAAGGTCTTCGCAAGGTTTCACAAGCACCAACAACTTCCTTGGTTGATGAATCACGTATATATGGTAGAGAACAAGACAAAGAAAAGTTAATTAAGCTATTGATATCTGCCGACGATGGAAGCAGTAATAATGTATCTGTCATCACCATCGAAGGAATGGTCGGGATTGGTAAGACAACCCTTGCTCAACTAATTTACAATGATGAAAATGTGGCACAGTGCTTTGATCTTCGAGCTTGGGTTTATGTTTCTGAAGATTTCGATGCTACGAGAGTCACTAAAACCATTCTTGAGTTGGTCACTGCAACTGTTTGTGATATTAACGATCTAAATTTCATGCAAGCCAATCTCAAAGACCGAGTGATGGGAAAGAAATTTTTATTTATATTGGATGACCTTTGCAATGAGAATTATCATGTCTGGAAGCTCCTGCAAGCTCCCTTTCAGTACGGGGCCAAGGGAAGCAAGGTCGTGATAACAACACGGAACACAACAGTTGCATCAATTGTCCGCAATCTTCCTACTTACTGTTTGCAACCGCTATCTGGTGAAGCTACTTGGCTTTTAATTCTACAACATGCTTTGGGAAACAGAGACCCCATTTCACACCGAAACGTTGAAAAACTTGACAAGGAAACTGCAGTGCGTAAGTGCCATGGTTTGCCTATAATTGCAAAAACACTTGGGGGTCTCTTAAGGCACACTGTTTTTGAGGAATGGCACCGCATATTAAATAGCAACTTTTGGGAGCTACCCTCGATTGCTCGTGATCTTCCAACTTGCTTACTACAATACATGAGGCAAAGGGGACGCGAATCACATAACATTGGCCACTCTACTAGGACGAAGGTAATCCAACTTCACAAGTCATTAGCCTTTGTTTTGCATTATTCTCTACGTATCTTAATTGTAGATCAAACTTTTTACTACTTAAAGCAGGCCAATTCAGCAGAATGGATCTTTTTGGTCACCAGCCTCTGCTTAGAAATTGTATCAGCTGCTTGTGATCAGGCTTCCTCGCCAAGCAAGCTCGGTTATGCACTTTCTGTTATGCTCTTGGCTATTGCAGCTGTACTCATTTGCATATGGGAGCTCATTCACAAAGGGAGAGAAGAAAACTTTGTGCGGAGGAAGCAGCAGGGGATACGGTCATGGATTTACTACATGCTTTTGGGTTCTCTCCCTAATATTTACGGCTTACTTGGTGGTATCACTCAGTTTGTTTTTTAAACAGTTCAATATGCTTACTTAATCCAGCGTGCTGAAACTCCGATCAAAATGTCCCTTTTGCCTACTGTCTTTCTTATATGTTTGATTACTATGAGATTAAGCAGGAAACGAATGCAGACCGTAGATAAGACTGCTAAACATACAGCATAGGCAAAGAATGGCTTCGAGCAAATAGAAAGGATGGATTCTTTGGAAAAACGTATATCCAGGCATGTGGATATAGTTATTTGTCCATTTTGGGGTGAAGTTTCGTGTTCTGTTTTGATTGTGCCTATTTTGTGTTGTAAAACTTTTATATTGTAATGTGCTGATAAGATTCATCTGTAAAATCTTCCAAGATTCCATGGAACTCTGTTCTTTGGTTCATAGCGTTCAACGTCAAATTCTTATCATCTTCACATTATTTTTGGCATTTTTGTATCCCATAAAATGGTCTCGCGTTTCTTCTGTTCTAACACACTTATCATAGTGATTTTTACACTCCTTTTGTATTTCTAACCATTGGATCGAATGAATCAAAGGAGAATCAAGGTCTCACGTTTCTTCTGTTCTAACACACTTATCAAATTGATTTTAACACTCCTTTTGTATTTCTAACCATTGAATCGAATGAATCAAAGGAGAATCAAGGGACATATTAAGGAGGGGTGAAGAAGGTGAAAAGGGCAGTGCAGAAATCACTCCCCTCCCTTACTATACCTACACATCCAACAGAAATCCGGCATGTTGAGCGGAGCTGATATGCCGCGGCTCTATTGCAGCTTGTATCATTGCCTCAATCTCCATCTTTCCGAGAGGCTTCCCCAGTGAAACGACAGAGTGATCATAGTAGAACTCTTCAATACGTTCTCTTTCCACCTATTCCATTGGGAACTACAGATTTTTTGGTGCATCAAATTCATGCATTTACAATTCATGTGACTGTATTAATACTCCTGAAAGGTGTTCTGTTTGCTCATAGTTCGCGTTTGATACCAGATAAAGAACATCTTGATTTTTGTTTCCTTTGTGATGGGCCGGGAAGAGGGGGAACATGCCAAGTATTCGCTTGCCTTCTTAGGGCTATTTTGGATGTATAATGTAATTTCAGTAGTAATATTTCTATTCAAGCTGCAAAAGGTTCGTTAATCTTATGTTTGAATGACGCTTTTTCAAAGTACCAAAGAAGTTTCGAGTCGATTGGTAAAAAATGCCTTACAAAAGAACTATCAAGCACTACAAATCTTTTACCAAAACCCTACAAACGCACTACAAAGAAACAAAACAAAGGACTTTCAAAATGTCATTTTAAGCAACAATTCATTTTCAAGTCCCTCTATCCGAACATCAGCAGTAAACGTAAAAAACGAAGTAATTAAGAAGAAAAGGAATACCTGATGGGGTTGTTCATCAGTAAAAGAAAGGCTACCGATGATCAGAGTATCATCAGCACGTTCTCGCAATTGTTTTCCAAGGCCGTAAGGTCCACCAACGCAGAATAACGATAGTCTTGAAGCTCCTTACAGAAAGGAAAAACATTAGTGTTGCCTACAGTGAGAAGTACCGAAGTTATTATGCTCCACCCACCTCATCTTCCCAGCATCCCCAGTCAACTCTGCCATCTGCTCCGACCCTATGTCTTTTTCGTGCTCATCCAACAGCACGAACTACAAGCACAAGATTACAAAATGAAAATATAGATACTAGTATAACAGTTCTGAGCGTTTAACAATACAATTGAATCTGCATAACGCCTTAAGCAAGGGGTGCTCAGACTGTACCCAATCATCGACAGCATTGCCTTCATGATCAACCTGAGCCTTCAAATCACTACACAAAAGGTAACTAAATTAAGCTCTACAAGATATGATCCGTAAACCCACAATACGAACATTTACTCCATGCGTCGGTCCAATATTCATAATTACAGGAAAAAGTTCTTCTGAGTATCTTAGAAAAGCATGTGTCTATTCAGATTAAGTACAAAGACTGTGATGATATAGGTCAAATACGATGGTCAGTACTGTGCTTTTTTAGGATTTTTCCATATACGAACATCATCAACACAGCAGTACGAGTTGTACGCCTTGCGATCTCTTCTTCCTTTACTGATCTTATTCGTATGGGAATTGTTCTCTGCCCAAAATCAAAATCACTTCAAATCGGAAAGAAAACCTGGAAATTCAAGGTCCAACAAACACAGTAGCCAAGGGCTAAGAGATTGGCACGATAAAAAAGACACAGCAAACTGATACTTCATTGTTCACACGATAAGCAGGTTCAATCAAACACAAATGTAAACCAAATTTACCAATTACTCAAAAGATTCGACAAAATCAAGATCATTCAGCAAACTGATAAATCCTTGCTATATCAATGGATAAATTGTTGGGTCACAAAAATCCGACAAAGACAGTTTGGAAATTTTATTTGAACTCATGTAATTTTTTTTTACACCTAATTTACTCTATTCACCTTTTTTTTTTAATTAAATAATTAAACTCTCTTTAAACCCAAATTTATTACCTAAACTACCATTTCAAACCCAATTCAAAATGTTAAGTTATCTTTACACTCACTCATTCTTTTTATAAAATAACATCTGTAATTGATTTTTTTTTTTTTTTTTAAGAAGATGCGTCCTTGCCCCACCTCCTCTTCCCACTAGTATTTCCATGGCTACTTTTTTTTTCTTTCTGCTACCAAATCCAGACATTTGCCTTTTTTATTTCTACTAATGTGCATAAGCAACAAATCAAACAATTCATCCCCTTATATTTATCAACAAGCAAGGAAGTTTATAATCTAAGAATATTGGTAAGAAGTTTTTCCTTAAAATTTTCCAATTGCAGAAAATTTAACAAACCATTCGGGATTAATGAAAAAAATTGAAACCCAAATACACATCTTCTAAACTTTAAAAAAAATTGAAATCAAACGAACAATATATGCATAAATTGAGTTATACCTTAGTTGAAGAGTTCAAAACTTCAAAATCACCATCCATCAATAAAAAAAAGTTTGTTTTTCTCTACGAGACTTATTAGGGTTTTAGCCAGAATGAACGTATGATAAACAAGAAGTGATGGTAGGGTTTAATAGGTTTATTGATAAATTTGAGTTTGATTATTAATTTCATTTTGTACTTAATAGTAATAGACAATTAACAATTTAAATTTAAGTTGGGTATAGAAAGAAGTTATATGGGTTCAAATAAAATTTCTCAAGACAGTTCCGTTTAGGAGATAAAACCGACTGTTTCGCAATGCAACAAAGTGATAAAACAGTTCTCGTTCTTTACATTTCTTCCTAGCTGCTTGGCCTGTAGTAGGTGTCTGGTTTACCTCTTTATAAAATCAGCATGTAAAAGTATGTACATTGTAACAATGATTACAGTAAGAGCTGGAGAGAGCTTACCACTGCTTGACCTGTGTATTTTGAAATCTCTACCTGAAAAGTTTAAGCAACTTCGGATAAAATAACCATTAACGAAGAATATAACAGCATCACAAGGGTTTCGAGATAAAAAATAACCTGAAGGAAGAGCAGGGATAACGGTATCAGGACGGGAACTAAGCATGACAACCATGTATATAGGAAGAAAGACAAAGGATAGTACTTGCAGCTCCGAATGTGGAAAAAATATTCACTTTAACAAAGGAAAACGAGAAAAGGACGAACATTGCATTGCAATTCAAAGGGTTCAAAAATACGAAATTAGATGAACGCAAAATGTCGCGGACTTTATTTACTGAAGACTTTTGCTTAAATGTAAAGTGTGAATACTTCCGTTGTATTTATTTCATATTACAGAAAATGCAAGCTCACTGTAAAATAATGGCATCCTGCATTCATGCGCAAATTCTACATGCCAATGACATGCCCCAAAATTATCAAATAACTGCAATTAACCAGTACATAATTCTTGGTCAAAAGTTATAAACTTGCAATTGGGTGGGACAAAAACCAAAATTTTGCATCAATTCTGAGACAAAATACCGACCTTTGAGTTTGAAAATTCTAACTCATACTTCTCTAAGCTCTTTTTCTCTTTTTCTAGCACTTGGCGACGGCTAATGGTTGCCGCTGACCCCAAGGCCTAAGTCTGAGGACAGCGGCAGTAGATTTATAGATTGGATGGGACCAACTTAGGAAAAAAAAAACATACAAACCACACCCACCCCGCCCCCCCTCCCCCGCTCCTTACACATTTTATGAAAATATTCTACAATTATTGTGGATTTATAGATTGGACAGCTATAAGCTTTCCCTAATTTTTCTTAACCCCTAATCTCCCCCTAAATTAATAAATAATCATTTATTAATATTACCATAATTCACTGGCTGAAGTGTTCATCGCCCAAAAACCATCCAATTCCCTCAATTGTCCAGAACCAGAGATTCACACCCTCCTCCGTTTACCATATACTCACAATGCCTCACATCGCCATTTCCCATCGCCTCATACTTCTCCCCACATTCTCGCCGAACCCGCTTCCCCTCTGAGAAGCTGAAACATCACCTGCACCTGCATTTGAACATTTTTGATTGATTGAAGCTAATTTCCTCACCGCACCCAGGTTTTTATTTCCCTCACCCATCAAGATTCTTCCGTTTTTGCTCACCACCAACACCGTTTATTGTTTCCGATATTAACACAAAGGTTGATCTTTGCGTTATGTTTTCAAAGTTTGTGGCTTTTTTCTGTTTTTTTACTCACACCCAAATTTTGATAAATCAATGTTTTGATGAAATGTGTTGAAATTTGATGCTTTGGGGGATTTTTTTCAAAAGGGTATTCGTTGAATTGTGAAAAGTTGTTTTCTTTCTTGTTGGTTGATCCAAAAATGCGTCTGAAATGATGTTATTTGTGTTGCAAGTTACAGAAGCTTCTTAGTTTACACTTTGCACAAGGGGGAAATAAAGCGAAGAATGCGAAAAAGGGACTGAATGAGAGGTTCTGTGTTGCCTTCGATCCAGATGAAAAAGTCATTTGCATGGCGGCCGCAACTGATGAGAGATACGGTGATGTCTAAGTCAAGGTCACGTCCAGCGTTGAGAAGACCAACATGGATCCTTGCATTGGTTTCGTTCATCTGTGTTTTTCTGATACTTGCCTACTTCTACTCTCCGAAAAACTCTGCCTCCTGCAATCTGTTTTCTTCTAGTGGCTGTCTGTTTGGAAGGACTCCCCCTAGCCCTGCAAGGGAGCTGACCGATGATGAGACTGCATCGGAGGTTGTAGTTAGGGAGATTCTCAAGACACCTCCTCTTCAATCCAAGAACCCGAAAATTGCTTTCATGTTTTTGACTCCCGGAACTTTGCCTTTCGAGGAGTTGTGGGAAAATTTCTTCCAAGTAAGGCTATGGCTCTTTATGATTTTCATTACTTTTATTTGCCTTTTATTCATCAAAGAATCATATGGATAGATGTATTTGTTGAACTGCATTCAGAAGTTTGGTAGTCTAGCGTCACAATATTAGGCATTTCCTACGGCAGCCATGACTAAGAAGTACTAACTGTAGTTTGAAATCGTACTGCGTAAGGTGTCACGTGGGAGGTACCGCTATGCAATCTCGTGCTATGTAGCGATTTCACATAAGCTATTCGATACTTGCATAGCATAAAATAGTAACAAATAAAATCTATGTACTTGCACCATAACACATAATTTCACAACAATTTCACTTGCAGAATAACCCACCAAAATACATCTAATTCAAGTTCAAAAACACAATACACTTAAAATACAACATTCATTAAACCTTACCACTCTATCCAAAATCACTGTTCAGTCAAGCAACTCTCAGTAAAGAGCTTCAGAAATAAAAAAACTCGCACCACAAACCAGAATCATAAGCCAAATACCGAAACAAAACTAATAAACGTGCTTTGGAGGAGTCAGGCATGGATGAAGGAGGCGTCAGGTCACAGGTGTGGAGGAAGGAGGGGTAATTGGAGGAGGCGCCGCATGGTGAACTGAATCTGGGACTCCGGGTGTAGCCAAGAGGAAGAGGAAGAGGAAAACAAGGATCTTTCCCAAAATCAGCGTTGTTTTGGGTTTAAAATTTAAAAATATATATATTTAAGCCTTGGTACCAATAGCAGAGGTTTCTTAACTAAAATGCTTCAGTAATTCGGTGTAGTTAATGCTCGGCTCTGCAATGTAATTGTATCTCCTGTGACTATAGTTTCGGTTTATCCAGTTAGAATTACTGTCAAATTGGTGCCAGTCTTTTGATCACCTGAGGAAAAGGTAGTTGCTTTAGATTTCTTAGTATGTTAACTCAAAGGGACTTATCGAAAACGTATGTTATTTCAACAGATAGGATAAACATGTGCTTGGAGTTTTCAACACCTTTTTTCTGTGGAGAATATTACCGCCTCTTGAATCCCCATTTATATAAGCTTGGTGTGGAATATATCTCCTAACTTTAGTTGCTGAGATGTTTCGTTATATATAGTGAACAACTAATTCAATGTCTAACAAAAATGACATGGTTTTTCTAGGGCCACGAAGACAAATTTACCGTTTATGTACATGCATCCAAGGAAAAACCAGTACATGCGAGCCGGTATTTTGCTGACAGAGACATACATAGTGAACAGGTATGCAGAGCCTCTCGGATAATGCTTGCAGTACAGTATTATTTTTTTTCCTGACCAAAACACATGGTTTTCTTTAAAGATGCCATTAATCTTAAATTCTCAGGTCGTTTGGGGAAAATTTTCGATGGTTGAGGCAGAGAAGAGACTTTTGGCAAATGCACTTTTAGACCCCGACAACCAACATTTTGTCTTGCTGTCTGATAGGTCATTGCATTGAAACAACTTTTGCAATGAGGTTCTTCTGACGGAATTTTGCTAGTTCTTCCCATTGATTTTGTTTTATATTTTGGTTTCAGTTGCATACCACTGCATAACTTCGATTATGTATATAACTATCTCATGTACACAAACGTCAGCTTTATCGATTGGTAAGCAAACTATATTTTACAAAAGAAAACCTGATGCAATTCTCAAAATTCTATCCCACTAGTAATTGGGACTTTCTTCATCTACTTTGCTCTATGTCTAGTTTTGTTGATCCTGGTCCGCATGGAACTGGCCGGTATTCAAAACATATGTTGCCTGAAGTTGACAGGAGCAATTTCCGGAAGGGTTCACAGGTAATTCAGCATATACTTTCCATAAAAAGGAAACTTTGAGATTACATATTTGGTTCGGACTTCTGCGTAAGATACACAGCTCTGGAAACAGTTTCAAATCTCGTTGCATTTGTAAAGTTAATTTCTTCTCAGTCCATTGTGTTAATACTGGATGGATGAGGCAAGATAGCACATGAGAAGCTGGATTACTTGCTTTGCAAATATGGTTCTTCGATTTGTAAGATAATTTTTTAATTTTTATTAATCAACTTCACAGAATCAGTAATTGTGCAAACTGGATATGGGAATCTACGCAATCAGTGACCTATGTTAGACATTTAAGCAGTGCAAATTTTAGGTTGGATTCATCTTTTATCTTAGTGCATCATCAGTCAGTATGATTTGATGCAAAATGTTATGTTTAACCGATGGGGGAGATTTTCTTTGTCAGTACCAATATGAAACCAGAAAAAGAAGCCGGGTTACATGTTTCGTAAATATGTCTTTTACAGTGAATTAAACTTCTGTAAGATCAGTTCCAATGAGTATATTTCTGATTCATATAATCTTTTCACCTGTTCCAATTCACCTGAGCTCCTTTCCCCTATCTTTGTCCTAAGTGTACAAATTATTGCAACGTTTGGGTTGGTTTTTCGTTCTTGTGCACATTTATTTGTTTATATTAACGAAACACTGGATCAACAAGAGGAGTTTTGGTATATAACACGCTCATTGGTCAGATGTAGATTTGTGTAAACGCAGTTGATATTTCAAGATATAGGGTTGGATTTAATCGACATTTTTACTGCAGTGGTTCTCTATTAAGCGGCAACACGCAATTGTCATGATGGCGGACAGTCTATACTATACAAAGTTCAAGCTTTTCTGCAGGGTAAATCTCTTCTTTATTGTGATGTGCTTTTGTCAACGTTCATGAGAAGAACTTCCAATCAATCTCTTGCTCATGATGTTTTCTGACTTTCTCAGCCAAACTTGGATGGACGCAACTGCTATTCGGATGAGCATTACTTGCCAACCTTCTTCAATGTCAGCACATTAAACTGTTTGTTTCTTTGCAATTCGAGTTGCATTTTCACTCCCTTTTTAATTTCTTTGCTGCCGCCAACTTTCTTTTTCTTTTCCCATTAATGGTTTTCAGCTGAAAGATCCTGGTGGACTCGCGAATTGGTCTGTAACATATGTCGATTGGTCTGAAGGGAAGTGGCATCCAAGAGCGTTCAGAACTCAGGATGTTACTTATGACCTTCTTAGGAACATCACGGTATGGTCTAGAGAAGTGCATTTTCTTTAACCCTCACTTCATTTTCTTCATTTCACGCTCTCATGTATCGATATTTTCTCATCCATTTCAGTCCATTGCTGAGAGCACGCATATTACAAGCGAAGACAAGGTACAATCTTAACAACCCTTCTAGTGTGGTAACCATACGTAGTCAGTAACACTATGATCACCAATTTTGTATCCCAAATAATGTGTCCGCGGTATGAACGAGCATGTTTGTTTCTAACATGATATCATATCGTATCACCTGCCACGTCATTTGGCGAATAAATTTGACGACCCTTGTACTATTGTTGACTGGTTGGCGTTTACTTGCTGCAGAAGCGAATTCTGAACACTCCGTGCTTGTGGAACGGGATGAAGCGACCGTGTTATCTATTTGCCCGAAAGTTCTATCCAGAAACACTGGGGAAACTGGTTCAGCTTTTCTCCAATTACACAAAAGTCTAAATCCTTTTTGGTTTTTTGGCCATCCAATTGCTTCCTCAGCAGCTCCAGGTCCTGGTATGTATGTCTTATATGGGTTGGATTGGCGGGTTGAGAGGCTGCTGGCTGTTCCTGTAGATTGTTTTGCCTCCTTTCTTTTTTTTTTTTCTTTTTTTTTTTGTTATTTGTGTATTTTAAATTACTGAATTTTACTGAATTTTGAATGAGATTGCATTCAATTTCAGGTTTCTTTTTACTTTCTGTAAAATTAATGAAAATTTGGATTTAGTTTTGAAAAATGGTGACATGTGTAGTAAGGATTAATTATCTTAGTTCGCGGGTTTGAGTCGTGGAAACAACCTATTTGCAAAGCAAAGGGAAGGCTGCATACAATAATCGTTCCTTCACCAACCCTTGCAAAGCAAGGAGCCTTATTGGATTAGGTTCAGCCCCTTTTTTTTTTTTTGGTAACGGTTAGGTCCTCTCTGTTTTAGACATTCTAGTAATTGTACTGACTTTTATTTTGATACAAGTGATTTAGTAAACAACTTACATTCAATCAGTACCGTTCTAAAATTCAATTCTCCTCAATTCAACACCTCGTCAATCCAATTCCACCTATTTTAATTACAAATTAATAAACGAACCATAAATGGAATTCCATCGCTTTTATTTTGTAGTTGTTCAATCAATCGTCATATGCATTGTTTGATTAATTTACATTAATGATGGATAATCACCTACTTATTATTTGAAGTTAGGTCATGAGTTCAAGTCGTAGAAACAACATTTTTGTAAAATAAAGGTAATGCAACGTATGATAGATGTTCATCTCCCGACCTTTGCAAAACAAGGAGCCTTATTGGCTTGAGATTGGCCCAATTTTTGTTTGTTTGTAATAGTTAGGTCCTCTCTGTTTTGGAGGTTTGGCTGGTGTTCTTTCCTAGCTCCTACTGTTGTACCTTGTTTGTTTTCGTTAAGGACCAGTTACCCGCACCCAACATTGATATGTCTCCTTCCCTCACCAATGCCCCTTGGTAATTGTACAGACTTTCATAGTTTAATTCAAGTGAATTAGTAAACAACTTATATTCAATTAGTACCGTTATGGAATTCAATTCTCCTCAATTCAATTTCACCTATTTGGTTGGGTTATTGGTTGTTTGTGGGTCGGATCCTCCTTTTTGGCTTTTTTTTCTTCAGGGTTTTGTGGCTCCTTTGACCGATCCGTGGCGACACCGCCTTCCCTGACTAGATCTGTGGCGGCCTTGCCTTGCTATGCTCATGGTTGTGGCAGATCTCACTTGTGAAGTGGTAATGTTGCAGGTTTAGATGGGTTAATCGTTAGAGACAAGCCAACTGGAGGATTTCGCTTCTCGAATTAGTGTAAATCATTGTAGCTTGTTTGAACCGCATTTCGCAGGTAATGTTTCGGCTTACGAGTGATGTAGCCCCACGTGTGTGCGGTGGTTTTAATATGACATCGTTCTCAGCTATCGTTTAACGTGGTCCTGCTTACGTGATGGTGACATTACATGTACTTCGGCATAAGTTAGTTGCTTCTGCCTTCTTTATGGTAGATTTGTACCGGGTTGTTTATGCTAGTGTGTGCTTTTGTAATAGCCAATTAGGGATTATCATCACTATTTGTTTTGTGCCAATTACCTCCAAATCAAATATGTGATCATTGGAGATTGTGCCCATGTGACAATGTAATTGTTATTGTTATTGGAAAATTGCCATTGTTTCTTGTGAAAAAAAAATTACAAATTAATAAACAAATGATAATGAAATTCTACACTTTTAACTTTGTAGTCATTCAATCAATTGTTGTATACATTGTCAGTTCAATTGGCATTAATGATCGATGATCACTTACTTATTGAAAAGGACAAACTTCAAACCATGCCAAGTATCAAAAGATTATAAAAGCTTTCTAAAAGATGCCTTACAAATGACGTATTCGGATAAAAGGACTAAAATGTAATAAATTTTAGAAATTATTATTATCACTTCAAAACTTTCATTCTATACTTCTCATAAATGTATTTTTCTTTCTAATTATGAAAAGTTTAGAATGTCAAATAAGATTTTTTAAATGCTAATAATAATTTCATAAATTTTAAGATAAAACAGTAATTTCTTGATGAGCGTGTCCGTAAAGGGGGAGAAATTGTGTGGACTTGGTTGGACCGCCGAAGGCCTTGTCATTTCCCATCTCGAAGTCACCCATTGCGACTCCGTACTCGCTCTTCAATCGACGGCCCACACTCATCCAGCACCCCTAAACCAATCCCCACCGTCTATTCAAATCCACGAACAGCAAAAGCGCGGCAAATGGAAAAATATCTGCGAGCCAGGAAGTACAAAACGGCACCACCCGGAGCCAGGGAGTCACCCAGTCAGTTTTCTCACTTCGTTGCTGTTGAGAGAGCCTAAAACGCAGTTGTTCATCTCTCTCTCTCTCTCTCGGAGCTCCGTTAGCGTGCTAGGGTTTCTGGGTTTTGTGGGAATGGCGCCGAGGAAACGCAAGACGACTGAGCAAGAAGAAAAGCAGCTGGTGGCTCAGGACTCGGGTCAGCGAGTGACTCGGAGTATGGCTCGGCCAGCTCCGAGTGGGAGCTCGGCTGAGCCACGACCCGTGGCGCCGGCGAGGAAGAAGGCCAAGGGAACTCAGAAGAAGAAAGAGCGGGCGAAGAAGGAAGAGGTGGAGGCGGAAGAAGCGGAAGCTGTGAAGGAAGAGGAGGACAACTCCGGCGAGAGCAAGACGGAGGCCGAAGCAGAAAACGAGAACAAGAAGAAGAAAGGGAAGGAGAAAGTGGAGGCCGAGGCGGAGAACAAGGAGGAGAAAGGGAAAGCGAAAGTGGAGGACGACGGAGCAGGTACGGAGGCTGACGACGACGAGTCGGACAAGAGGACCATTGTGATTGAGCATTGGTTAGGCAATTTTATCCCTCAATCTTTTTTTGGTCCTGTTTGGTTGCCGAGAAAATTTTAGGATACGCACGAAAATGTCATTTCGTATATTGTGCTTGTTGTTGTACTATTTATTATTTACTTTCTTCAGATTACGATTTTGGCTTAGAGAATTTTGACACATTCATACTAGGGGTAAGCTCGATTGGATTTCCTAACCCCCTTTCGTTCTAGGGTTTGGAATATTTAGGAAATTTGTTGGGGGTACTATAGACTTCTAATTTGCAAAAAGCAACAAGGATTGGATTAATTTAGCTAAAAGCTAAGGAGGATTTGTAGATGGGGTGGTGGGTCTAGTGGAAAAATTGTTAATTTACTCTGTGTGCAAGCCTTTTGACTGTCTGTTTTAATAGCTATTCGAGGGACATGTGGTTTAACTTAGTATCCAGGATGCATGAACTGGTGATGAAATTAGGGTCTCTTGGTCATTAAACTGCACGCAGTTGTTGATTTAGCAGTACAATCGTTGCAGGAGTCTGTAGATTCTTTGGGAGAGCTTTTGATTCTATCAATTCTGAAATAAGTGAAAGTAGTTATGAATTCGATTGTCGTGGTATCACAATCCAGCTGTTTCATTTTATATTGTTGGAGTAGTTTCGTTGCTGGATAAAAGTTTAAGGAACCTTTGCTCCCATTTGGAAAATGAAAACTATTTGTCGGATTTATCATTTATGCAATAGGATAATCTGTGTTGATGGTTATGGAGTGGCCCAAGCGACTTGGTAGTCATGGGTTTTGATTGCAGAAACAGCCTCGTTTAGAAACAGTGTTATTATTGCGTATGTCTTGCTCTCCCCAAATCCCATATTAGTTAAAGGCTTGTGCTGTCTGCCAACCCTTTTTGTTTTTTTTTTTTTTTTTTTTTTTTTTTTAAGATTATGATGATTGTTTCTTAAGCGTTTAGTCCTTAGTTTTTATTGTGTACGTTTTGCTTCCCCATTTCCCCTGCAATAGCAAGATCGTTGTGTACTTGCAGTTCTTTTATTATCCTTATTGACCGATTTGTTTCTTTTCTCTAGCAAGCAATGCAAGTCATTCAAGGTAAGAGCTGATCAGGTCAAAAATGGTTTGGAGAAAGGTGTTCCTGGCATCAAAGTTCTACTAAACCCTGATAAGGTATACTTAATGAAGGATATTAATGTTTTCCATGGATTCGAGCTTATGTGGATGGAAAGATTTAAAAGAAAGGATTTGGATATATTACAATAACGCTGAATTAGTAGAAAGACCAAAAACATTAGTTTTATGAATTCGAATTGAGTGCATACAAGGAATCACTTGAAACCATAAAGAATCAGGGGATAAACATTGTTTGATACTTATTTATTTTTGACTTTTTGTAGACTTGATGTCCTCCTACAGGATATTGAAAGTAAGTATTAGATCTTAAGCTGTCTGTCTACTATTGTATCCTATAACTCACACAATTATCCAATCTTCACAACATGAGATTAGAATCGTGCAAAACATTTTCTGTTAGGAAAATAGTAAGTACATTTTTAAGACTAATCTGTTTCTTAACCAAGTCGTTTTTCAATCAATTACAGATTTAGGCATTATGGGTGGGTATAAGTAATGATCTAACTATTTCCTTCTTTTTTTTGAATAGCCAAGAAAAGGATGCTTAGAGATACGGGAGGAAGGCGGTGAGACATTCCTCAGTCTTCTGGTAATTCTTTCACCAACATTCTTCTATTCTTGCGAGATTTAATTTGCATGTTTTTAGTCAATAAGTCTTTTCCATTCTGAAAGTCATTGGATAGGAGAGCGAAATAGCCCACTGTTTTTCCAAAAAGGTAGGTTTCAGTTTGAAAAAGGCTAAAAGTGATTGATGATAATTGCTATGAGATAGTTTAAATGCATATTGATGATGAATCTTAACAGGATGCTTATCTTTTCGCAAAAGGAAATATCAATATTCTGAATGATCTTCGATGATGTTCTAAGTAATTTATTTTGGTGAAGAGAGGGTGATCTTCTTTATAATGTTATCGGCTTGTTGAAAAGTAAACAATTTATCCAAGTTGTCATTTATGGGTTTTATTTTGCAGGACATGAAACGACCTTTTCCAAAAATGAAGGCGCTGAACATGGAGGAAGTCATTAGCGATGTAATTGAGAAGATCAAGTGAACAATGTGATATATCGCATTCTAGAGGAGCTTTTGATAGTTGGAGTAACTGTCTTTTTGGGGGTAAACCAAGTTTATTTGGCATTTTAACAGTAGGATGATTACTACTGATCTACATTTGATCGTGCTCATATTTTTGTCTGACAACTGTAAAGTTGCACCTGGTGAGGCCAACGATCTGGATGTATTTTGAAAAGGCTCATGATTCGCCGTTGCATACAAGAGAATGTAGGTTACTGATGATATCGTACTCTTTTTGTTAATGCGTGAATGAAAGTGAGTAGAACTTCGTTGACATCACAATTTATCGATTTCTAATTTCCAATCTTTTATGATTTTATGCTGCATTCATTGTGCATTATTGAAAAAAGCTTCAGATCCATTTATCATCTCAACAAAATTGTTAACACATAAATAAAGTATTATCGTTTTACAAGTAATAAAATTTTCAACAAACCATGGCAAAGCATTCCGTCTCCCTCTCAGTTTTGGGGATTGAAGATGACAAACGATGTTTTGAGATCGTCTGCTTCCGTTAACGATTGATGGCGATCCCCATACTTCCTCTTTCTCCGTTTCTCTTTATGTGTTATAGTACTAGTTGTGTTCTTTATAAAGCCACGAAGAATGAGATGAACCCAATCATCCCAACGCAGAGGAAGCTTGAAGCCAGCTGAGTCGAACCAGAACCCTCACGAGGTGGGGGTGCTGACTTATGCCCAGCAGCATCAGGGGCTGGACTGCGCTTGAACATTTTCGTCAAGGCATCAGCAGCCCCAGCAGCAACCCCACCAGGCCCTGGAGCAGACTTGAATATGTTGTTTAGTGCCGAAGCATCTCCATTCTTTGCTGCATCTGCCACGGGCGCTGGCACCCCCAATTCCTTAATCATTTTGTCCAACTTGCCTTGACCACCAGGGGCCGGAGCATCACCACTCTTTGGTGCATTTGCCGCTTTCCCTGCTGATCCATCGATTTGATTAATGATGTTGGATTTAAGAACTTCGTCTTTGAGCTTGCCGAATTCTTTGAACCCTTCAGGGAGACCTGCTGGGAGGTCCAAGGCTTCAGAGATAGCGGAGCTGAAGAACACGAGCGATAGAGCGAAGACGGGGAGGAGGAGGGGAGAGGCTCCGTGAGTTGTCATGGTTTTCGATTTGAAAATTATGAAGGCTGTTTGATGGCGGTAACGAACCTTCGGAGGTTTTTTTAGTTTTTATAGGCAAGATATGTATGCCAGAGGGATTGTAGTTGGAGAAGACAACCATGAACAATTGAAAATCCAAATTTGGAGGGTCTATTTTTTGTCCTCTCTGTTGCCTCAACTCTCAAACCCCAAATACCAACTTAAACACTTTCTTAAATTACATGTTTATTTTTGAATGTATTGTAAGCTAAATGCTACATGTGCCGTATTTACGACCCTTCCATATTTTTGAAAAAGTTGACTCGTTCTTTTTTATCTTAGACTAATATCATCTCATCTGCACGTGATTCGCTCGTGACCATTGTTCATGTTCTTTTTTTCTATCATTGATTTTTGTTTCTATTTCTCTCTTTGTTTTTGAAAAATGTCAACTAGTTCTTTTTTAAGATTAAATGAATGATGTTTGTTATGCGCGTGCTTTCTATGTGATCGTTTGGTACTTTTTCTTTCTTCTTTTCACATGATCGTTTACTGATGATATCGTAGTTATTTTTGTGTGGTGAAGAGAAATTCGCTCCCAGCCTTTAGGATCCACCAACATCCAAATTTTCTGTGTAATTATAGCAAATCAATCTGTATATAACTCCCCCAAATCCCCACTTGAGAAACCAGAGCTTTGGAAGATAAATAAAGCATTGCTTTCAAAGCAAGAAATAAGGCAAAGCAAGATAAAAAATAAAGATGGAGAACACCAAAACCTCTGTTATCCTCTGCCTTGCCCTCTTCCTTGTCTTCTCTTCGGCCTCGGCCTTTGACATCGTCAAGCTTCTTGAGAAGCAGTCGGAACTGAGCAGCTTCACCAACTACCTCAAGGAGACCAAGCTCGGCGACGAGATCAACAAGCGCAGCACCATCACAGTGTTGGCAGTGGACAACGGGGGCATGTCAAGCATCTCCGGAAAATCCCAAGATGTGATCAAGAAGATCCTGAGCGCACACGTGGTTTTGGATTACTTCGACCAGAAGAAACTGACCAGTTTGGCTGGTTCCAGCAAGGAATCGACCCTAACCACAATGCTCCAGTCCTCTGGCCAGGCCAAGGACCAGCAAGGGTTCATCATTGTCGGTAAGAGCGATGGAGAAATTGCTTTCGGATCAGCTGTCAAGGGCGGCAAGCTCAACGCCAAGCTCGTGAAAGCCGTTGTCTCTCAGCCCTACAACATTTCAGTTCTTCAAATCTCAAATGCGATTGAAATTCCCGACATTTCTGCTGCCTCTAGCCCTGCCGGCTCGCCAAAGTCCTCCGCATCATCAGCTTCTTCTCCATCAAGCAAATCATCCTCTGATGCTCCCAGTCCCTCCGATGACAGTGCCCCAAGCCAATCACCCAAGTCATCAAAGGCACCCTCGCCGTCGGATGACGTTTCATCCCCACCGGTTTCTGGTGATGCTACACCTTCATCCTCACCATCTAGTGATGGACCAACCGGATCATCAAGCTCTGCACCTTCACCGTCTGCTGCTTCACGCGCTGAGATGGCTTTTGGCACCGGAGTGGTGATCATGGGTTTGGCTTCCCTTTTGGTTGCTTAAATTTTCTTCAGTAAATGAGGAGATGAAAAAGAAAATGTAGGAACGGAAAAGATTAAACTTAAAGGGTACATGGTTAGTGGTTTTGTGTGGTAAATGGATAGAACATGTAAGCAGCCTTTGTTTTTATTTAGAAATGCATCAGATACCCTTTAAGTACTTTCTTTTTCTTGTGATTTTTCTTTTTCTGCTTTCTTCTTCACTGGTTTAATCCACAGTTCAGTTCAGTTCCTCTTGATCATTAGCATTTGCATTTGAAAAAATAGTTTGCTTGCAATGCAAGTTAGTTAACATTTGAGACCCTTCAGATCATTATGCACACCCATTTTCTCAAAGCATTGGGCAAGTTAACTAGACTAAAGAGTGCATCTATGCATCATTTTCTCAGGCCTTGAATGAGGGTCCTCAAAACTGTCCTCACCACCGTATGTCCCTGTATATAAGGACCATGGGACTTTCAACTGTCCTTATAATAGAGACTCGTCGGAGTACCCACAAAAATCCCCACATGTAGGGACTCCATAGGAACTCCATAGTGGGGCCCGAGGTTGATTTTGAGTGGGATAAAAACCCCACCCACGTGGGTTGCACATCAGCTTCTCTCTCACCAGGCAACTACGTCAAGCGTGACCCTGCACAACTTTTCTTTTTTTTTTTAACCGATGGGAAACCAATGGTCTAGATAGATTCTTGGGGTTTTTTTTTTAAATTTTAAATTTTAAATTTTCTTATTTTCTTACTGTTTAGACCAATGGCCACAATACTTCAACCAAATTAATAATGATTTTTTTTTTTAATCTTGCAATCCTTACATTTAGGGATTATATTATAAGGGCCTTCCATTGAAAACGATATTTCTTTAGGGACTTGAATATTCCTTTGAAGTCCTCAAAGGTGGTGGTGAAATCCTAAAATAGGACTCTCATTGAGACGCTTGTACCCCATTTAATGAATAAATAAAAGTGCAATTTTTTGCATTATTAAAAGAGTTTTTTTATGAATAAAGACATCGTACTCTTCTTAAAAAATACAAAAAATAAGAGCTACAAAGATTAGAAGCAAGAACAATTGTCAAAGGGTAGTGCTATCTACACATTCATTTTTTTTTTCTCACACATTTCTCTCAATTTTCGATCGTCGGATCGATTGAATAGAAGAGATCAATAGCAAAAAATTAACAAGAGTGCGTGTGAGGTAAAAATAGGTGTGTGAATAACACTATCCTAACCAAAATGTGGTTTCGTCCATTTTTGTGGTTGTGGTGGCCTGGCCATGGGAGAGAAAGGGTATGAGATCGAGTGAGCAATAGGAGTGAGCCCAGCGGAGAAAGGCTTACACAGAGAGAGAGAGAGAGAGAGAGAGAGAGAGAGAGAGAGAGAGAGAGAGAGGAGAGGAGAGTCGATGAAGATGAAGAGATCGAGAGAACAGAGAAGGTTAATTCAGTACAAAGGCTTCCTCTGGTTTAAATTTGTGGTGAGGGATGTGCATGGTGTCTTCCACATTTCTTGAAAGGCCATCGATCCGCGAAGTCCAGCGGAGTTGGTTTCTACCATTTTGCCTTAGTTTGGAATAGGTTCTGAGTTCAAATCTCGTAAAGCAAAAAATTTCTCATGTTGTAGCAGAGACGAATGATTCTGAAGATGGTGTTGCTTTTCATATGGAAACTAGAATGTAGATAGAAGGTATAGCAAATAATCCATTCGTTCAACTCTGAATCATATGAACATTAATAAAACGACTCGAGCAGACAACAAAAATGGCGATTTTGAACATGGCATGTATGTGTATCAGTGTATGTCTATGCCATCAGTTGTAAGAACAGATGGTTTCGTACAACTGATAAAAACAAAATTCTCCGATAGTGTTAATGAACAGTGGCACCTCTAGGGGGCGAGCCTAAGTGGATCACGAGGGAAGAGAGAAGTTTTGCGGATGTTATTCAAACCGCAAAAAAGCATGACAACACGCTCCAGCCCTACTCCGAATCCACCATGTGGAGGTGCACCGTATCTGCAAGAAGCATCATAAGGTTCATTAAGCAGTGTAATCGAGGGATGTCAACTAGTATCGCATGGTTAGGTCAAAACTCAGAAGCCAATTTGTGAAGAGCTTCTAACTTACAACATTTTGAATAAATAATAACAATAACACAGGGAGCAAAAGGAAAGGATACCTGAAAGAATCAATATATGTTGATATCGTCTTCACGTCAATTCCCAATGCCTGTGCACGTTCAGTCAATAACTCTGGAACGTGTACACGCTGTGCTCCAGAAATAATCTCCTCGCCTAAAGGATGGATTACATTTAGTCATGTTACTCCAAAACGGTTTACTGTATACTGGAGTCCCCAAGTACAAAGAGAATAATATATTTTCTATCCAATATACCATCAGGAAATGTCGTCTAACATACCTAAGAATAAAAGACGCTATGAAATACTTATAACTTTCCTAGCTCAGTTAACCCAATATGCATAAAAAATTAACAACTATTTAACAGCTAGATGATGTCTAACATATCTATCGAGCACTGAAGTTGTGAGCTTAAAAAACCAAAATCAAATTAGCAAAATGATTCAGGATACAAATGCAACAGTAATACTGATAGAAACAATGATGGTTTACCTCGAATAAAAACATCAAACGAATTACTGTAAGCGGGATTGTCATGGCAAGGCATTGTGTAGAATGGCCTAACAGCCAAAGGATAGCGGTGCAGTATGTAGAACTCGGTGCCATACCTATAATCGAGTAAAAATCAGTTCAAACATTTATGATGACAACGGAACTTAAATAAAATGAGAACAAACTAAAAATTGGGTAGAACAAGCAAGAAAAATTACTTCTCCAGAACTAGTTGGCCCAATTTTCTCTCATTCTCGGTGTTTAAGTCCCCAAAAGGATCCACTTCAACACCAGCTTCCTGTAAAACACATCAAACTTAGAATATATGGAAGAAATCTTCAATTGAAAGCAGGCCATGCATGTTTCAGATTCCAGACTTTTAGTACTAATAATGGCTCTAGACCATGTGATTCGAGAAACAACTCTGCCAAAGTCTACAACCATGCATTTACTATTTGTTACTCAACTCAGTGGCGAAAAAAGAACGGGTGGAAATACCTTGAGCATCTGAACACCTTCTTCAAATGTTAAACGTAGCGTCTCTGGCAAGTACTGAAAATTTGAGAAATGACAATAATCAGAATCCAAAAACTGTGTGGACATGAAACTGAAATCGTTAGCAACATTTTTTTTTCTATAACTCAGAATATATAGAAAATAAATCTATTGCTTACGCAATGCTTCACTGACCATTCAACACCCAACATATCAAAGTCCAAATACCAAAGACAGCAAAAAATAAATCAGAAGTGCAACCTTTAGCGGTTGGAATGGATACTGCCTTGCCACAGCTTCAAGCTCTTTTGCACAGTTCTTGTTCAAGGAGTCGAACATTGCAACAAACAATGGACCAACAACGTCCATCACCTGAACAAACAAGCATATAATTGCTCCGTGAATTAACATCCACCATCATATGGGGGGATACTGGTAAACAAATGCCTAAAAATTATAATTCTACCTCAGAATAGTGCCTCTTGATCTCCATTTCAACATCAAGACCGGTGAACTCACACAAATGCCTATGGGTAAAGGAGTCCTCAGCTCTAAAAACAGGACCAATCTCGAAAATACGGCCGAAGTCACCACATATAGCCATCTGCTTGTGAAGCTGAGGTGACTGGGCAAGGCAGGCCTCTTGACCCTTGTAATTGAGTTTAAAAACAGCAGCACCACCTTCACTTGAACCAGCAATCAGCTTTGGCGAGTGGATTTCAAAAAAGCCTTCGGATATCAAGAACTGCCTGAAGATCTACAGAACAACGCAACCAATTACACATAGCAGTAATATCTTACTACAAGACCCTCCAACTTTGCAAGAGTAACAACTGCAAATGGTACAAAGACTACTCACATTTCCAACTTGACTCTGAATGCGGAATATACCCTGATTTGCCGGTGTTCGCAAGTCAAGAACTCGGTTATTCAAGCGGGTATCCTGATTAACCCGAACGAGTGTTTCTCCGGCCTAAAAACTCATCATACCACCCAATGAATATACACATACTAAGAGAAAGAAAGTCCCAAAATGCTTAACAAAGCTTCAACAACCCAATTCAAAGTAAAACTTGTAATCTTACTACCTGCAACGCCTTTTCGATTTCGACATCACTCCTAGCAGCATCCTCAATGTTAATTGGTAAGACAGCAGCCCTACTCACACAATACAATTTCCTTACTTGAACTTCCACCTGATTAAACCCAACATTTTGATTATAATCACTACGTAATCACTCAGCGAATTAAAGTTTTAATTAAACACAAACCAATCAAAAAATTGAAGAAAAAAACGAAAATCACAAAACCTGCTGCGTGGTGCCTTTAATCTCGACACTAGGAACAGACACGACGCCTTCAACATCGATAATCGACTCTCTGCTCAACCCAGCGACGTACTTCACCATCTGGCGGCTCACGGTGTCAGGCTGCACCGTCACCACGCACTGCACCGTAAACCCCCTCTCTCTGACGACAACAAACGACATCTTATTCCCGACGGCGCGAATCGTCTGCGCCCGGCCACGTATCAGCACGGACTGGTTCTCCAACGCGTCGGTCAGGTTTCCAACCTCGGTCCAGTGGCTGACGTCCTCAGCCGTCTTCGATTGTAGCTCGACCAGCGGGACTTCGCCGTAGTTGGAGGCGAGCGGGTCCTGCTCGTCGACGGCGAGAGAGGGGGCCGCCGCGGCCGGGGTTTCTTTCTTGGCTTCTTTCGCGGCTTTTTTGGCGGCTTTTTTCGTAGCGCTTTTGCTTACAGAGGAGGCGTCTTCGGTTGTTGGGTCGGAGGCGACGGGGTTTTGGGATTCCGGTGTCGACATTGGAATCGGAATCGGAGTGTGGAAATTTCAAAGAAAAGAAAAGTACGCAAGAAATTACAGGGGCTTCGAGTGTGGAATGGCAATGAATGTGTCCGTCCGGGGTGCGGGTTTTATATTGGGAAGGGTGGTCTATTTTGGACCGTTGGATGATATCTGGACGGTTCAGGTTTGTAAACAGGTCTCTTCTGTAGGAACGGGTCAAAAACCCGACTGCTAACAAACCGAGGCACTAACACCTGGTTTGGTACTGAGGTGATTCTGAAAAAAGCTGCTATCAAAAAAAGCTGGGAGCTGTTTTTGTGTTTGGTAAACACTCAGCTTCAGCTTTTTTTCACAGTTTTGGATGAAAAAAAGCCAAAAACAAGAAGCTGCAAAACCTAGCTTTGAAAAACCAGCTTTTTTTCACATCTGTTTTACATAAAAGTTTACCAAACACTCTAATACTGCTTTTTTTTTTCAAAAGCACTTTTACAAAAAAGTTTACCAAACACTCTGCTGCTTTATTTCACAGCTGCTTATTCTCACAGCACAGCAGAAGCAACTTTTTTTCAAAGCACAGCAATACCAAACCAGCCCTAAAACAAATGGCGGCCGCATAGGGGACCCCGATGATGACAGGTGGCCCGAAATTTTCCTTTTTTTCTTCATCTCTAAATGAGATATCAAAATTGCCACGTAGGTATACAATAGTAAAAAATGGCAGCAACCTCTCTCCAACCGAACCTTCAATTTCTTAGGTGGTGCTGAGTCACTTGAAGGTAAAGTATTTTGCTGTCAAATTTGACAGCATATGTCAAATTTATTAAATGATATTTTAATAGATTAATATAATATATAATAAATGTTGTTATGTTTTTAAATATTTGATTGGTTACCAACTCCATAAAAAGATAAAAAGCTTATTAAATAACATTATTATTTAACATATCAGGTGGACCAAAATATTGTACAAAATGTCAAATTGTCATATAAGCGCCCCAAACTTTTATTTTTATTTTTAACCAACGATATTATTTACACGAATAAGGAAAAAGTAAGAGGTTAATTACATTAACACCTCTTGAGATTTTTCGTGTTTTCACAAAATCTCTTCACATTTGAGAAATATCACTGACACCTCCTAAGGTTTTAATTTGCCTTCACATAACCCCTTTAAAGACAAATATACCCTTATAATTAATTACTTAAAATAAATTTTTATATAAATAAATAAAATAAGTCTAGAAAAATGTTAAATTAACAAAATTACATGAAACACCATTAAATAAAACAAAAGAACCCCTATGAAGCCATCAACTTATGAGATGCTTCAAGATTGGCATTATTTTCAAAGGATCTCGTCCCCATACTTAAGTCATCATCACAAATAGATCGCAAGAACATTCCAAAAACCCAACAACAATGCTGCACGGACCGGTCGCAGCCTAACACGTTTGCAGGGTGTTTAGTGAAGAAAACCCGCAGACCCAATGCACACCCCATTTTTATATTAATTCGTCCCTCGCTAGCCTCTACAACTGCTTCTTCAACACCGCAGCTTTGGCCACTGCCGTCATATCAAAGTGAAAAACACCTATCTTTGCAATTCCGATTGTTTTTTATTTTGTATTTTGGCAGATTTTTTATTTCTAGACATTAAAAATGATCAAATAAAATCTTTGTTTCTAGTAAATTATAAACAACATTAGGAGAATTTTTCGATGTCGTAGTATATGTTCTTTTTCCTTCTACTTTTCCATTCTCACAAATAGAGTATGAATCAGACCAAAAAAATATAAAGAGATTAATTATGAATCTTGAAAACATTGAAGGAAGACACCAATAGTCAAATACCAAAACCAAAAACCCAAACACATGCGTCTCAGAATTCAAAGCCAAGATGAACTCTACAATTTAGCCATTTTTTAATGTGATTCTTTTTAATTTGATTTTTTTTTCTATTTATTTATAAAGATTTTTTATTTAAAGTAATTAACTACAAGGATATATACGTTTTTAAAGGGGTTATGTGAAAAGTGAATTTAAACCTCAAGGGGTATTAGTGATACTTATCAAATAGGAGGGGTTTTTGTGAAAACACGAAAAACCTCAGGGGGTGTTAGTGTAATTAACCCAAGGGGTGGGTTAACCTCATAATGGACTAGCAATAATGTGGTTCAAATTTACCTTTGGTGAGAATCGAACATAAAATCTCTCATTTACAACTAAAGAATAATGTCACTAGCGTAGTACTAAGTGGCAAGCGCCACAAACTTTTTTTTATCTAGTATAAGTCGATTCAAGTGAAGAATTATAGAGAGGGATAGAGAGGTGCGGCAAGGAGCAGCGAGAGATTTGGTAAATTATGAGGAGTGTATTACCTCACCCATTGTGTCTAATATTGAGCTTGTTTGGAAGTACTTTTAAAATAACTGAAAATGCTTTTAAAGAAAATATTTTTAAAACAAATTCTTCTTAAAAATTCAAGTGAATCCTATAAAAGTAAAAGCACTTTAAATGCTTCTTACAAGAAGCATATATTTGCTGCTTCTTCCACAAAACACTTAAAACACTTTAAGTGTTTTGTGGAAGAAGCAGTAAACGAGTCAATTTATTTTAAAACCACTTCCAAATGAATCAATTTATTGTAGTATGGAAAGAAGAATCTTCTTCTTTTAAGTAATACAATTGAAACAGAACACTATCTAGAGGATATTCTAGAATCCCAATAAAATTTACACAAGCTAGTTCTCAACTAAATCAGAACTACAACACTCTCTGAGAGACTTTACAGCCACAATCTCAATTTGACGCTATCACCTTGAAGCATCAACACATATTACACGAAACGAATTAAAAGCAATAATCGAAAATTAACGGAAATATGTAAGTGACTGGTTCAAGGAACCATTAGCCATTCAGTATTACGGTCTGGTGGTATTCCTCTTCACTTGGAAGTGAGAGGTCTAAGGTTTGAATCTCGTGAATGGCGTATTTGATACCAAATTAGATTGTTCATTGTATGGTTTAGCTGAACTCCTAATTTTCCTAGTGTAAAAATATCAAGGTGCTCTAAAAAAAAAAGTAATGTCATCATTAATGTAGGTAAAGTCCTATCTAATTTTTCAAAGCACTAAGTAGTTTTTTGAAATATTTTAACAAGTTGACATTAATTTGAAATCATAAATAAAAATTGAGGAATTTTTTATACATTAACTCTAAAATAAATAAAAATAAAATAATTCACATTTTCTCTCTCTAATCTTAACAAAAATTGAAAAATAAATTTAACATTAAACTTACCATTTATAATATTCGAACTTAAAAAAATAAGAGAATTACAAATGCTGGTGTCAACTAACTGAAGTACAATCAAATTTATGCTTGACCAAAAAATAAATAAAATAAAATAAAAACTGGAATAAAATCGGTTCTCACGTGAGTTCAGTCGTCACTTCAGGTCTCACTTCACTCTCGCGTCTCCACTGCCTCACTGAAAAGGAAAAATGTTGGCAGCTAAAACCCTAATAAACCCATCGCCATCACTCAAGCTCCCAAACAACCTCTCCCTCCGCCGCAAACCTCCATTTTCTGTCTCGATCCGTAACTCTCTCTCCCAATCCCCGTCGTCTCCTGATCCCACTCCGGGGCAACTCCGAGTCGACATCCTCGCCGAGTCTCTCCCCTTCATCCAGAAATTCCGAGGCAAGACCATCGTCGTCAAGTATGGCGGCGCCGCCATGAAATCCGAGTCCCTCCAGGCCTCCGTCGTCAACGACCTCGTCCTCCTCTCCTGCGTCGGCCTCAGGCCTATCCTCGTCCACGGCGGCGGCCCCGAGATCAACCTCTTGCTCCAGCGCCTCGGCATCGAGGCGACCTTCGTCGACGGCCTCCGAGTCACCGACGCCAAAACAATGGAGGTCGTATCGATGGTCCTTGTCGGAAAAGTCAACAAAAATCTGGTCTCCTTAATCGACCGGGCCGGCGCCAAGGCAATCGGACTCTGCGGGATGGACGGGCGGCTTGTCACGGCCCGGCCCGTTCCGAACGCCGCCAAATTGGGATTTGTCGGGGAAGTTGCGCGGGTGGACCCCGCCGCGCTGCGGTCCAACGTAGAGGCAGGGTACATCCCGGTGATTGCATCCGTGGCGGCGGACGAGACCGGGCAGCAGTATAACATCAATGCGGACACGGTGGCGGGGGAGCTGGCGGCGGCAGTGGGGGCGGAGAAGCTGATCCTGCTGACCGACGTGGCGGGAATTCTGGAGGATCGAAATGATGTGTCGAGTTTGGTGAAGGAGATTGATATCAATGGAGTGAAGAAGATGGTGGCGGAGGGGAAGATCGGCGGCGGAATGATTCCGAAGGTGAGTTGCTGCGTGAGGTCGCTGGCGCAGGGTGTGAAGACTGCTAGCATTGTTGATGGGAGAGTGCCACATTCTCTGTTGCTTGAGATTTTGACTGATGAAGGAGCTGGAACTATGATTACTGGATGATTAAACGTTAATTAGTTGCTTAAGTACTGAATGATTAAATGTTAATTAGTTGCTTAAGTCCTTCTTCAAATCCTTCCCTTCCCCTTAGTGTAGCAACGTCGATTGTAATAAACAACGAGGTTCAACAGTTATGAATTATCTGTTGCTCTAAGTCTATATCCTTTGATATTTGCATAACTGCTTAGAAATTCTCTTTGCATGATCGATATTGTACCGACAATGTGTCCAGAACATGTCAATGTGTTTTGTTATTGACATGTTAATCGATACAATATCGAGTCTTAAAAAAACCAACGTCTGTATATGAGGCGTCAAACGTTGCGATGCTTTTGCCTGATGTGATGCAGCTTGTCGGTGCTTTGGCTGCTCATTGTAAATTTTCTGCCTTGTTTGTGGATAGGGGTTGCTCAAACCTTCTTTGGTATTTGTTCTTGCCTATTTACTATCAGCTCTCTCCAGGTAATGACATATCGGGTGAAGCTTAGCATTTAAGAGGTCTAATTCTCATTTACTTAGGTGACTAAATTCATCTACTCTGTTCATTTTTTTATGGCCAATTAATGTTTTTAACGGAATAATGGAGCGGGTTTGTGCTCTTCCTTCAGATGTGGTCTACCAGGTGGTTGAATTAGCTCTTCAACTTCATGAGTGCTCACAGGATCAAGCCAGGAAAAATGCAGCCTTATTTTTTGCTGCTGCATTTGTTTCCGGGGCAGTTCTCGATGCTTTTGATTCTCAGGATGGCTTACAGAAGTTACTGGGACTTTTAAATGATGCTGCATCCGTAAGGTCTAGACTAAATTCTGGGGCACTAGGACCCCCTCGTTCAGGATCACTTCGGAATGGCAGGTCACCTGCAGAAGTACTTACTTCATCAGAGAAACAAAAAGCTTTCCTGCCTTGCAGCAGTACTTCAGAGCACATCTTATTATGCTTGTGGATCCAAATAAGAACCCTCGAAGTGCATCTCAGAATCTTCCAAGTGTAAGGTCTGCTTTCAAGCCGCTTGACATCAGTGATGAAGCTGTGGATGCAGTATATTCCTGCAGCTACAGAAGGACCGAAAGCTGGGTCCTGCATTTGTGAGAAGTGGGAACTCATTGGCCTGCAGTAGGTAAGATTTGGGTTTTAATGGACTTATTACTATGTTGGAGTTATGCCAGGTATAATATATTCCCCACCCTTGCAACATGAACTTCCAATATACTCTATTGCCTTTTCACTTGATTCCGTATCTGATTATACCTGATTTTTCTTTCTGCAGGCTCCACCTGTTGAGCGTTATTTACACGATTACTTCAATATGCATTGGGTGTTCTGCATATTGTTGCATTGGTCCCTAGCAGCCGCAAGATGATTCGACATTAAGCAATATTCATGTTGGTGGTAGCTGTGTGGACCTTGAGTTAAAGACCTGCTTATGAGTCATTTCTTACTTTGTCGTGTTGCTTTTCTGATATCAATGCATTTAATCTGATTTTCTATTTGTCCCAGATATTCAACCGGCGCTTAATGTGTATGTCAATCTGGTTAGTCCTCCACCATCTATCAGTTATAAGGCACCTTTACTTTCACAAGGTCAGCAGTATCCCCAACCCTTACATACATGAATGGTAAATGCAGAGACTCGGCATCCGTTTGACTGACCCGAGTGGCCAGTGTCTCCGGCCAGTCGCTATTATTTTCTGTTCTCGCTCATATTTCACCTCTTTTCAATTTTGAACTGATTTGAAAATGTTTCATTTGTTTGTGTGAATTCCTTACCAACCTCATTTGTTTACAACAAAATAAATAATTTTCATGCTATATGGTACATGAGTCCTTACTAATTTATAACTAGCCATTGGTTTAGTATTACTTGCAATCTTAAAAGATGTCTTAAGCTCGAATTCATCTGTTTTTTTTTTTTTTTTTTTAATTATTAATCTATGAACTTTGACTGTTTGCTAAGGAAAAGTGTTTATTTGAGGGTTTTGAGTAATGTCAATAGGCACTTATCTTATCAGAATAAAAATAAAAATTTCTCTAATGTTTTAGCCGACATATTAGGGTGATAAAGGACAAGACGTAGGTTCATTTTGACGAATAAGTATAAAGAAAATAAAATGTTTTAAATTCTGAAAACACAAGAATTAAAGTTGAGAAATATTGAGTCAATTGATATGGAGATAGAAGGCGGTGAGAAATATTTGAGTATTATAATTGGGCGTGTCATATGTCGTATTTATGGTCATCTAAAGTTGTTTAGACTCTCAAAATGTAATTTAATTATCGTTTTAATTCCCTAAGCTTTTGAGTTGTCCAAAAAGTGAATGGCTTATTTAAGTCGTTGATGTTATTATTGTAAGTCATCTTTTCAATCAACAATCGAATATCCTTTGGGATTTTTATCGAACTAGTGAATTCCAGAAACTTTGGTTCTTCAAGGTTTTACGCTTGTAATCTCGTCTCTTCATTGTGGGAGGATGACTATTTGTGGCACATCAAGGATCTTCTATGGTGGTTGCGGACAATCTTTTGTTAATGCAGAATGCACTGGAGGATTTGCTTCAAGACAAACTCGTCAACTTGATGTTGGGAAGATTCATCGTTCTGAGGGTAGTGAATGCATAGAAGATTTTTTTGATTGAGTTTCAGTTGTGGATCAATTCGTCAAAGAAATAATTATTTCAGAGGAGAAGATGGTCAAGATTGCTTTCCGTTTAAAGGGAAGTATGGCTTTTTGGTGGGACAATATGCAAAAGTCATAAATGAAAAAAAAGAAAGAATCATATCCGATCTTAGCGTTAAAGAATAGAATTATTGTAAGCTTTGAAAATTAAGAAAATGCGCTTAGACATGTTGAGGCGCCCGCCTAGCCACCTGCCTAACCTATCCAGACAAGCCAAGGTCACAACCTACTTAGACAGAAAATAAATAACTTTCATTTTGCATTTTATTTTTTTAATAAATTCTAAGAGACATGTTACATACTTAAATGAGCACATATTATATTTTACTCCCCATGTTTTCATTATGTTCTAATAGTTCATAATAAATATGTCATTTTATTTTATAGTTTATGATGAAATTATATATATTTCAAGTATAAACAAACATTTATTCACACGAAATATAATAGATTTACTTAAATTCACCTAGTTCGCCTAGGAGGCTAGGCCCCCAACCAGCCGTTCGACTAGCGTCTAGCGTCTTTTAGAACATTTTGTAAGAGGTAAGCCATTATCAAACACGAGCATGAACTAGCAAGCACATTCAAATCTCATTTATGGATCGACTACATGGTTATACCATCCAGGTTTGAAGAAGTTTTGGCTCCTCATGTTAGAGATTATATGTGCTTATCTAGCTTCGTGATTCCTAGTGCCATACAATTTTAAGATGAATTCGAGGTCGAGTTCCTTTCAAGTAGAATTATTCAAGTTCATTATCAGCGATCAACATATTGGTTTGAGGAGCCTCTTCATATTATATATGTTTTGCTTATTGAGAGTTGTAATTCTAGTTCATTATCTTAATTACTTGTGCTGATTAGAGTGTACCCGAATTAGCTAAAACACTATGCTTCTTATTCTGCACCCCAAGTTCATATCTCCTCTCCTAATTTAGATTGAATCAATTAAAATGCTGTTTAACGTGTGGTTCAATATTCTAGCGGATAGTATGTTGGATTTTCACCCATGCATCACTGGTTCGAAACTCTATGTACTTGAGACCACTTGAGAAAATACCAATTAATTAGTAGCGGACCACATACTCCATACAATGTACACTGTCCGATAAGGGAGGTTATAAAGGCGATGCTAATTAACAAAACAAGACAAAAGATGCTTAGAAAGATTTTAATTTATACTTCTTTTGGAAATATTTGGCTCTAAGCAAACGGATATGATACAAATAACTACCAAAGAGAGCTACTAGACCCACCATATTGTCTTATTTTCCCACTTACGTTATAATCTCACCCACCTTAAAAAGTTAAAAAATTAAAATGTTATTTCCCCACCCACTATTATTCCCAAAATAACCTTTAATATATACATACATATGAAATTATAAAAGTGTCCCTTAAAAAATATAACAAATAATATGTAAATGAAAACCACTAAAGTTTGCAAATTCATATGGAAACGACAAAGGTATCCAAATTTAAAAGAATTTGACAACGACAAATTCAAAAATACGAGGAACAAATTCAAATGACCTACACACAAATTATTCTTCTACCTTTTCAATGAAAACAAAATCTTCTACCTCTTTTGTAGAAGTGTCATCTTCCACCTATTCAATGAAAAAATCATCTTCTAAGTCCATTGATATTTTTTTGTACTTTCTCTGAATAAAAGGAGATGAAAATATGAGTTAAGGTTTTAAGGTAGACAAATCGTCTCCCACTCCCAACATTTTTTTTTTAAATTAAGCAAAATAAGATAATTAATGTCCTTATCAGTCTTTTTGTAAATGAACAAATTTGTAATTAAAAAAAAATCATTAAAAAGTGGGTGAGAATATAGGACATTGGGGTGGAAATAACATTACTCTTCCCAAATCAGGTAGAAAAAATATTATCTTATATATTTGTGACAAAAAATTGATTAGTATAAGATTTACTCAGCCCTCACACTCGCACAAACAATTAGAACTATTATATAAATATAACAAGAGGCAGTAGCCTCCTATTGTCTCCCCCTTCTCACTTGAAAATGTCGTCGTGGTCGGCAACTGCTTCGCCGCTGCCTTTGCTGTTCCGGAGGCGTTCGGGCGGCGAGATTAGGAACTTGGCCTCTGTGTCAAGCAGCATCTTACCGGCTTTTGGAACCATTGTCGATGAAGCCCACTTGCAGCTCAAGAAATTTGTTATTGCTCCTTATGATAGGAGATATAGGTAAAACATAATGTTCTCGCTGAGATCTTTTCTCTTATCATATAGCATGACATACGTTACATACTATCGCACTTAACAATGAGTATAAATATCCGTTCTGATTCACAGTCTGACAACACGTTTTCGTATGCATGAAGGTGGTGGCAGGCGTTTTTGGTGGTGCTGGTGATATACTCAGCATGGGCGTCGCCATTCGAACTGGCCTTCAAAAAGGTGGCAACTGGATCACTCCTGCCCGTAGATTTGGCTGTCGATGCATTCTTCGCCGTTGATATCGTCCTAACTTTCTTCGTGGCTTACTTGGACAAGACAACCTACCTCTTAGTACTTGATCACAAGAAAATCGCTTTGAGGTAATCATTCTTATCTGTCTTCTCCTCCTGGATTTACTCCCGGCCCTTTTTAGGAGTGATTTATGGCGTCACAAATTAGATATTTTTTTGCCTTTTAGAAAAAAGATTAATTTGATACCATTTATGATTTTTTTTATTTAATAGGAAACATATTTGATTATGAAAAATTCTTGTTAGTATTGCCATATAATTTAAGATTTTTTTTTAATTGATGAGATTTGAAAGAAAATTTCAAGAATCTTGTTGATACTATATTGGATGGTTTGCTAGATAGACCAACTTACTAAAATAAATTTTGGATACCAATTTGTGTCATATTTTCTTACTGAGTTATTTGTCGATTTTTCCCCGAACTTACGAGAACTGCCAATTTCTTCCCAGAACTTTGTTTTAGCCAATTTTTCTCTTGAACTTTTATAATCAGCCAATTTCCCTCTTGGCATTATACTTACGGAAATTTTTATCCATCTTGATTTTTTTCTTCTCTTCCGCTAATTCATTCCGTACACTTTTGTTTCAATGTTATCCCTAATGTGGACAACTATATATGAATCTTCTCCACATCCTTACTTTTTCAGCAACATGTTGGAGTTGTGATGACATTTCATTAGTCTTTCTTGTGACTTGTTTCACCTCTTTCAATTTAAGACCCAATTCAAATAAGAAAAATACTTACTCATTTAAAAAAATTCATTATTAGAAACTAGCCAATTATAAATGTCCAATGAGTAATCGACTAAAATTAAAAAAAGGGGGAAAATTATCTTAAAAACAAATGATTGTATGGAATTTATTTCCTTTCTTCGGATCACACTAGCATAGTCAAATTGATTCTTATTAATTTATATTACCTCACCACTTGAATTAGTTCTTTATTTCGTATTATTGTGAATTATCTTACATACTTGAATTAGTTCTTTATTTCGTCTTATTGTGAATTATCTTACATACAAAGAGTTTTATACGGAAAAAAAACAAAGAAAAAAAAAAAACTCATATTGATTGCCAAGTTAGCCACTACCAAAGATAATTAAAAAAAAAAAAAAAAAAAAGGGTGAAATGCCAATTTAATCTCTGAATTATCACCTGAGTGAAAATTAGGTCTTTAAACTATTTTTTCAGAAAAATCAGTCCTTGAATTATAAAAATTTGCCAATCACATCCCTAATGTTAGATTTGAAGATACTATATTCAATTTTTCATCAATTTAAGTCACATTACTTGCATGTGATACATATTAAAGGGTAGATTGGTAATTTTCCGTAAAGAAACAGTGTATAGAGTTAGCTTTGGAGGTAAACTAGACGTTAGATTTGCAACCTATATGAAATGCTAAGGGCTTGTAGGCGAGAAAATGACAGTATTACATTCTAAAGTGTGTCAAGTGACTTAAGTTGACGAAAAATTGGATAAAATAGCTTTGCATATAATAGTAGTGATGAAACTAGCAATTTTTAATGAATTTAAGGACTTATTTTAACGAAAAAATAATTCAAGGACATAATTTTCACTAAGATGATAATTCAGGAACTCAATCAGCGCTTCACCCTAAAAAAAATAAGTTAAGAACGATGATTAATTAATCTTGATACTAATACAAATTATCTGTTTCTGTTGGCAATTATAGGTATGTTACAAGAATATATTTCCCATTCGACGTAGCATCCACCCTACCATTTCATGTGATATATAGAATCCTTACCGGCAATATGCACCATCAACAAGTCTTTCGCTTCATCAATATGCTTCGCCTATGGCGTCTCAGACGTGTTAGTGAACTCTTCAAACGGTACTTTAGCTCTTAACTACATATTAAATCCCTAATCACACATAATTAACATGTGATTAAGATCCTAGCAAAGATTTTTGGGTTTAATCCACATGCAGGCTAGAGAAAGACACACGCTTCAGCTACTTTTGGGTTCGATACATCAAACTAATTTGTGTGAGTATCTAGTTTCCTCCTTTGAGCTATTGTTTCACTTAATATATTCACCATGTGACTGCATAATTGGGTCGGAATTCCTATTATCATGGATCATAATTAGCAGTCTAACAAATTAATATGTTGGTTGAAGCACGCTTTACCATACGTTTTTTATTTATCAAACGCTTTATATGTTGAGCCATCTCATTTGATTATATATCTAGAATATATGATGTCTGCACATTCAAAGAAGCATGATTTCACGTAATCGACAACCTAATTCGCAATCTAACAACATAAATCGTAATAATGCACAGAGTTCTAATCAACCTCTCTTTTTCCCTTGTGGGTTTTTGGAGCACAGGTTACACTATTCGTAGTGCACTCATCAGGTTGCTTCTTCTTCTGGATGGCAACCCGTCAGAAAGAAGCAGCGGACACATGGATCGGGATCCAAATCAACGACTTCGAGACCAGAAGCATCTGGTTGTGTTACACGTATTCCATCTACTGGGCCACCGTCACTCTCACCACCGTTGGATATGGCGACATACATGCGGTCAACTTCAAAGAGAAGATTTTTACCATCTTCTATATGCTTTTCAACATTGGCTTCGTTGCTTACATAATTGGAAACATGACCAATCTCATCGTCCGTAGCGCTGTCCGAACTTTATTCATGGTACCATTTCCTCCTCTTTGCATTTTTCTCAAATAAACTAAAGAGAAATCGGCTTTCTAAGGACATTAACTGAGATGATTGTTGCATGAATGCCGATTGAATGTGTAATAATAATCACAGTCTAATAACATAAACACGTTATCTTGTAAAAAATCTTTACTTGTTATAAATAGGTAAAAATTAGAGAGATAATCTTCACTAGCAACAGAAGCGAAGCAGGGGTAAAATATCACTATAACTATAATTCAAGGGGAATATAAATAAAAGAGGAAGGAATAGATACTGTTATTGATCTTTCCTTTTTGTTTTCCGTATGTTTTGATAGCAGTTGGAGTGCCCTGTTTATAGAGCAACTCCATACGAACATATTCTTACATTTTGAAATTTACAGCACATGACTTTGAAAATACGATCACCTTTATTTCCAAAGTCTACATCACTTTGTGTGGGTATTGAAAAAACTATGTGGGCATTCATTAAGCTACCAACGGTTTCAACATTACTCAATATTAATCTTGAATGCATATAGGACCCACTTTGGAGTCCATAACCATAATAACCACCCATATGCGGATTATTGACCCAACATTTGGATACAAGAAATAATTTATGCACACATTTTTCTCCTTCTGCACACTTATTTATTTTTGTTTGATTATTCTTCAATATATGCAATTTAAAGGCCACAAATAAATATGGGTGTGCGAAAAACATTGATAAACTAGACGCATATAATAGACTAATTTGAAGTGACTAGTTGTGTTAAACTGTTCAATGTGGTTTGTAAACAGAGGAATGCAATCAATGAGATACTGAGATATGCGAGTAAGAACAGACTTCCTCAAGGGTTGAAGGAGCAAATGCTGGCTCATATGCAGCTCAAGTTCAAGACTGCAGAGTTGCAGCAGGAAGTGGTGCTTCAAGACCTTCCCAAGGCAATCAGATCCAGCATTGCCCACCATCTTTTCCAAAAAACCGTTGAGAAAACCTACCTGTTCAAAGGAGTCTCTGAACACCTTACTGTCCAATTGGTATAGCTACTCTCTTCTCTTCCTATGCAATGATCTCGTCGTTGTATCAATTCATCAAAGAACGTTGTTGTTTGCAGATTTCAGAGATGAAAGCAGAATATTTTCCACCTAAAGTTGACATCATCTTACAAAACGAAATCCCAACAGATTTCTACATTCTAGTAACTGGAGCATTGGTACTCTCTCTCTCTCTCTCTCTAATATGGTCATCTTGGTCATTCCTATACACGCTATAGTAGAAACATAAATTTGTATCGCATATTTGAAATGCAGGACGTGCTGAAGTACAAGAACGGCACAGAACAGGTACCCTTGAGCACTTCATTGTGAGCCTTCCATAGAGTGTTTCGGGTTCCAGAACCTCTCTTATATGGAAGATGCAATTTACTCTCTTAAGGTTCCCCGGTGATGAACGGTGAGATGTAAGTTGCATCTTCCATACAGGAGAGCATCTGCCTAGAAAGTTTTTATAGAGAGTGTACTGTGTTTGTATGTGCTAGTTTAACTCTTTAAGTTCTAAACATGAAGAAGTAATCATGAAGGGCTGGTAAACATGAAAGGCTCGAGAGTCAAGAAATTATCGTAATATAGTAAAGCATGAAATGCAAGATGACATAAGCATGTATGGAACGAAATTCACAAAAGTATCTCAAACAGCTCTTACTGTGCATCTCTCTATACAGAAATTGATCAATCCAACCTCAAGGAAGACAGCCCTAGCTTCCTCACATTGAGTTGTGTCTTTTAAGCTTCCAACAACCTGCAGACGCAGATGAACAAAGATCATAAAACTTCAACTTTGAACCGTAGTTTGGAAAGGATATTGTACTCATAAGAAATGGCTCATCTCAGATCTCCTCTTCAATAACCAGATACAGTCTGAAAATGAATACAAGGAATAGATATGGTAAAAGCAGAAACCAGGAACTACCTATACCCCTCTCTTCCCCTAGCTTTAACGGAAAGACAAAGTAGCATTAAGCGGGAGATCGCTAACATGTTTAACCAACTAACATGATGACCTATGAATCAAACCTCTGAATTCTAACACATAAACAAGCTATTGCATCAATGTTGACAATGAGAAGCCTTTTCTTATGTATCTTGTTCTAATTAAACTTGCTTGTATTTTCAGTTTTTGTCAAACCTAGGATCTGCAGACTTGGTAGGAGAAATTGGGATATGTTTCAACATCCCCCAACCTTTTACAGTGAGAACAAAAAAGCTTTCTCAGGTTATTCGGATCAGTCATCAATCATTCAAGCAAATGGTACAGTCACAGAATGAAGACAGCAAGATAATATTCAAAAATTTAATCGAGGTAAAAAATCTATCTCATTCCCTCCTCAATATTATCGTGACATGGTTTGGAAGTTTTAAGAAAAAAACTTGATGAGATTAAGTAAATTCTCAGGCACATCATTTCGCTAAAACATAGAGCTTCGCATTGTCACCGAAATATCCATTGCCCTCGTTTTGTTCTTTTAAGATATACAAATAACCCTACCATGCATAGGCAATTGTTTATGCTGACTCTTTCCTTTTCAGCACTTGAGAGACTTGCAAACAGAGGTGCGAGAAGAACTACCGTTTCTAACAGAATTGTTGGATGACCTAAATATAGAGGTACACATCTCCATTTTTTACAGAATACTTTGACCGTAAATCTGAGTCTACTTATATGGCTTTTCCTTAGATTGTATTGTTTGTCAGAGAAAAACATCGTGAGCTCACACCAATGTAAAAGACTAAGAACTCGGAATTCTTCCAGACATTTTACTTAGATTAACTTCAACTGCATTGAAGGAAACCCAACACTGAGTACTTTCGGTTCATGCTAATGATGATGATTTTATTTGCAGCATATACAACCAAACGAACCAGTGAATTACCAAGAAGAAGCTAACACGGAAGGTAAACTCATCCCTTAGTCAAATCGAAAATGCGAAACACAAATTTTCTTTTGAAGAGGATGAACATGTGGACACAGCATTACAATACTATGCATGAAATTTTTCAGGATATTTGTCATCTTAGTTTAAGATTTTGTTATCATTTTACAGAAACAAGCAAAACTTCCACTCCGGGGCCAATTCCTATGAGAGTCATAATTCACGGACATCATCCAGATGAAGCTTACACGAATGGAAAACTCGTTCATTTGCCCGAGTCAGTGGAAGACCTTCTGAAATTAGCAGGTACTACCATATTTGAGACACATACCTCCACAAAAATTTGTTCAAGGACTAAGCTAAACAATTCCAAAAACTATAAAATGGCCGGAGAAGATTAGTGGCTAATACAAATGGCCGGAGATGATTAGTGGCTAATACAAATGGTGAGAATAAAATCCGCCACAGAAGGCCGGAGAGTTCGTGATTCAACCTATGGCCAAACAAACTAGAATATCACAATCTTCTCAGTAACTAACATTTACCAATCACTTTCATACCAAACAAAACACTAATTTTCGACCTTGCTCACACTTTCGTCACAAGTTGATAACATATTCGAACTTACTAACTATTTTACTGTGAATGCAGAGAAAAAGTTGGGAAAAAGAGGGAGCACGGTTGTGATGGCGGACGGCTCGCAGGTGGAAGAGCTAAACGCCTTAAGAGACAACGACCGCTTGTTTATCTTTTGAACACAAACACCATCTATGAACGAATGAAGACTAATCAATCAGTTTCGACCATCTTGTAAACGAAATTTTATAATGTAATTCATGGAAAATTTGAAGATTCAAGAACTTACAGCACCTGTGCATTCTATGCTTGGTTGTTGAGCATCTCCAAAACGGCATAAGCGGCCTTCTCGACTTGCTCCCTGGCTTCCTCTAAGCCTTTCTTCTTCTCCAGAGCAGATTCCTTGCACTTCTCGATCTCCTCCGAAATCCCGGCAGAGTTCTCATCAATTTCGCTATTAAAAAAAAAAAAAAAAAATTAGATCGTCTTTCATAACTTCGGAAGATTCAAATCGATCAAACAGTTCGTTGAAATTGAAATCAATTGAAAAGAATAATTGAAAACTGACCTCATCATCTTAAACATGTTCTCCATCGCACCCTGGACTTGCTGTGAAATCACTGCGCCATTTTATCCAAAATTTAATTTAAATTTAAACAGCTTTTTTCTTGGCGCTCAAAACTCAAATTAGAAGGGAAGAAATCGTAGAACGGAATCGCAAATGACAGTGAAATTGAATTGCGCGAGAGAGAAGTGAAATGACCGTAGACGATGGATGACATCGGGGACTCGGACTCCGATTGGAGTTGGAGCTGAAGGTCCGACTGAGATGGTGAAGCCATTGGAGTGTCGATCTCTGTGTGTATGTAAAGTTTGAGCTTTTGGCAAAAGCAGCAGCTGAAATGGATTTGGATTTTAGATTCTGGAATGCGCTAATTGCCAATTTATAGAGTACTTCAAAAAAACAAAAAAGGAGGGAAACTTAATAAAATGTTAAATTTGAGTTTATTTAAGGAAATTGTTATTAGCACTCCAAAAATCTCATTTAACATTCCAAATTTTCTGTAATTAGAAAGAAAAATACACTTATGAGAAGTGTATAATGAGATTTTTGGAGTGCTAATAATAGTTCCCTTATTTAAAATATCATTTTTTTTAGTTCTCACACACTTCTTATTAATTTCCGTGATTTTATCTTCTTTAATTCATTCAATCCGACGGCCAGAAACTAATAAGGTGTGTGACAAGTAAAAAAGAGTGTGTGGATAGCACACCCCTATTTAAATCGAGTTATCATTTTGGTATAGTGATATATCTTTCCTTCGTTTTAATTTTTTTTTCAATAGTTTTTTTTTTCTTCCTATTATTGTGAACCAAATCAAATGGAACTTGAAAAATACGATTGAGACAATAGTTATTTGTGTTTGTTTTCTGTTTACATAACGACTATTTTAGAATGCTAATAACAATTTAGTTATAATCGCTTGACATATCATATAGTAAGAGAAGAGCTGCATTTTGTTGCCAAATCCATAACAGTGTAGTTTCTTCAATCAAATATTAGTGTTTTTAAAAATTAGGTTGAAATGTCCTATTTTTGTCCCATTTCAGTGCATTTTATTGCTTGAAGTGCATTTTATTTCTGTCCCATTTCAGTGCATTTTATTGCTTGAAATATAGTAAGAGAAGAGCTGCATTTTGTTGCCAAATCCATAACAGTGCATTTTATTGCTTGAAATGTCCTATTTCTGTCCCATGATTGAGAAATTGTTCTATTTCTAGGTATTTTCCAAAAAATTAGGTTCTCAATCACTTTGACCAAAAAAAAAAAAAAAAAAAAAAAAACACACACACACACTTGGCTCAAAATTCAAACTCTTTTTTATTGGTAAATAAATTACAAACTATTTACTTGTAAGTGATAGATGTTAGATTCGATTTTCGTTAAAGGCGAATTTGAATCACATTATTACTATCCTATTGTGATGCTAAAACCTCATTTCCTATCGTTTAAATAAAGTCGTTTGTTAAAAAAAAAATTACAACCTCTTTGTGGATGGCTCCTTGGCATCCTTAAAGGAAGCAACCAGATACCAAAATTAGAATATTGAATTGAACGATTGAATTTTTTATTTTTTATTTTGAGAACGATTGAATACTTGATGTGGTCATATTTTCTTGTATTTTTATGCAAACGGTGAGAGCACATACCACCAACAGCAACAGGCCAACACTGTGTCCACGTGAAGTATCTACCCAAAGCGTTTACCGAGGACAAAAATGAAACGGTAATTTTCCAAAAATAAAGTTTTATTTATTTGTCTATTCCTTACACTGGGAATTTTTTGGAACTTGTGGAGGTAGCAAACAAAGCATGGTATAAACATATTTCTTAAGGAATTTGTTATTAGCATTCCAAACATCTCATTTTATTTTTACTAAAAAAAAATCTCATTTTACACTTCTTACAAGTGTATTTTTCTTTCTAATTAAAGAAAGTTTAGAATGACAAATAAGATTTTTGGAATGCTAATAACAAATCTATTTCTTAAATTAAATAAGATTTCACAAAAGTAAACAAACAAATATTATTTTGCTTTTCTTACTTTTTGTTTGGGTAACTGGGAAACTTCCAGGATATAAGGTTTTGTAATTACATACGATTATGTAATTTTTTAGTTGAAGTGTGTTTATAAATTATTTTGTTTCCATCGAAATGTTGCTCGTTAAGCACCACATAAAATCTAATAAAGATAAAAGGGGGAAAAAAATGCTAAATGGACTCCCTCAAAAGGAGAGTTCTCTATGAAATTTATATCACGTTTTAACGTTAATTTTCATCAAATATTATAAATTATTATGCCGAAAATATAAGATAACAGAAAATTTCACTTTTAAAAGAGACCCTTAAGGCTGGTTTGGTAGATTGAATGAGATTGAGCCTTAGAAATAAAATTTTATTAGCAGAGATGAGTTACATAACGCATATATATGACTAGATTACATGATTATTATATTTTCTTTTATTTCATATTTGTAACCAATACAATTAGTGTTACAATTTTTATTGCCAAACTTTAACTGTGCTACAGACCAATTTCAGTGAAAATGGCAGAGTCCAGCTTGCCCACTACACGGGGCCTAAGTTATTAAAAATAAAAATAAAACAAAAGCAGCCGAAAGCACCACGAATTGAGTGAAACGTACATTCATTGTGCTCCTTAATTTAAATGGGACCCACATGAATTTACCCAGATCCCAATCTGTGATCAATCCAAAGAGTCGGTAGACGGTTGGGATACGTTTTTTTCTTCGTATTTTATTTTTGTACCTATACGAATTGACATTTTTGAAAAGTATTTGAGTTTTCCTATATAGAAAATATATTGTAATGTGGTAACCTCGTTTTTTTTTTTTTTTTATTTATAATTTTTTATATTAAACCAGATCAATGGTGAACATATGAGGAATAATTAGAGACAGGGAAGATGGCATTAGCTTACTATTAATTTAAAAAAAATACATTGACATTTAATATTATGATCTAATGATATTCATCTTCACTTGTAAGTGAGAGGTGCTGTGTTCAATTCTCGCCAAAAAGTGATTTTGAACTATATAGTTGCTAGCCTATTGTAAGGCTAAGCCACCCCCTTACTTAGTGTAAATAATATCATTTGTTAAATAGAAAAAATTAAAATAAATACATTGATTAAATACCTAATAAACAAAACATTAAAGAAAATATTATTGGCAATCCAAATGAATACGTTTTAGAGTAAAAATGATATTCTACCCTAAGGTCCAAAATTCCCTTTTCTTCATGCAAAGATCCATTAGGTGTTCATGCTGCACAGCAGCACTCAGTTTGGTGGGGAAGCTAACCACTAAAGTTGCCCAACGGGTCCATCATTTCAGTCTCTATAGGTGAGTACATGTACCCAGTATCCAGTGAATCCTTATAGAGATTTATTTTATCTTCATATTTATTGTATACTCATTTTGATGGTTGTCTCTATTTAAGGACTCCATTGTTAATGCTCTAAGAAATTGTATTGAAACTTATTAAGATGACTCAAAACATCGTGTGCAATAGCGAATGTTTTTAATCAACTAAATTACAAGGATTTTGCCACAAAAAAAAAAAAAAGAATTATCCTACCATATGAACTTGTATTGTATATGAACGTGGTCGTGGCCTATTAGACTGATTTTAATTCACCGTTCTTTATTGAAATATGGATTTGATTGACAATTGTTTAACAACATTTTCACAGCGAAAGAGAAGTAAAATTCCTTAACAGCCAGCTCCCACCGGTTGAGAAAGAGTGTTGCATCAGTCATTTCCCCCAAGTTCATATATTTTGGTTATATTTTGTTACCGACTTTCGTTTTAGTTGGATCTATCTCCCCCTTTCTGCAGATGCTGGATAATTTAGTCACTTAACTATTTTTTCTCTCCCCTAATAACATCGTTGATGTTTGGTTGTTGGGTTAAATGCATCAAAAGTAAATTAGCCATACGTAAAAAGAAGTAATGCCATTAAAAGGAAGGGAAAGTGCCATAGGACCAAACTCTCAAAGGTCCTGTGACCACATTGACAATAATTTGGGGGATTTCCACAAAACCCATAACATGCATATGTACTTACATTAGTTGTGGTCCCATATATGTTGTTATGCTTCTCATAAAAGCTAGAATGTAGTCATATGACCATATTGACATTATTGGATTACCAAATAAGAATCCAACTCTTTTGACAAAAAGAATCCCTAAAAAACATGGCATTGTCCAAAGCACTTCTAAGCTTAGTTTCAATGCAAACACTCATATGGAATTGTCATTCCGTGTTAAATTTTATAAAGTCATCACCTTTTATCATAGCAGAGAATTTTTAGACACAAGGTGGAAAGCAAACATATATGTTTAAAGTCCACCTCCACCGTATGCTTAGCAAAAGTACATGGAGTCATTTTTTGTTGGTTTTTTTTAGCCAAAATGGTTTTTGGGAGTGGTTAATTTCTTCCTTTGGTTTCTGAGATTTGAAATCAATAGAAGTGGGCCTTGAGTTTGTCCACGGTCAATTATTTTTTATCATTCCATGAAAAACCTTTGATAAATAAGGAACAAAATGACAAATTTATCCTCAATTTAATAAACAATAGGTCAAAATGATTTGACAACAATTCGGGGTATTGTTGTTATTTTCTTTATTGAACAGAGTTATTTCATGGAATGACCGAAATGATTGGCAGTAGACAAACTTAAGAACCAATTCTATCGATTTTAAATCTTCAAGACCAAAATGAAAAGTTATGCTAATCTTATGTATCATTTTGACTATTTTTTTGTTTAATGACCTAGCCTTATGAAAAGTACCACAGTAAATTAGGAGTCTAAAGAAATGTTTAGGAGACTCGTTCAAAGTAGGAATCTTTATAAATTTTTTGTCATCTCATAATTTAACGTCAATTTCTATACTAATATTAATATATTACATCAAAAACATAAAGTAGCAAAGAATCAATGGATTGTTTTACTTTTAAGAAAGTCTCATTTTTACATTTCTGAGTCAAACTTTTGATGCCGAGGGAATTGAATTCCATGAGGGAAGGTAGGACTGGACAAGACTGAATGGGAATTCAAATTTATTTACTCAAAATATCCTCACATGTCTTGTGGGAACCACCACAATACCTATAACCTACCCCCTCAAAGTTCAAACAGTCCCGCTCCACCGCGTCTTAGATTTCCAATTCTTCGTTGGGCATATGATGAAGATATCCAGCATTCCGGTGTTAGTCTTCTATTGATGATTTTACGTGTATATTTTATCGATTTTCCGTCACTCATAATTTAATATTAATATCAACATTATAAAATAAGAAATTTTAACGAAAAATTTCTGTACTTTTT